TTAACCCTGGCTAAATCAAAGTAGTATTTGTTCTACCTTATATCTTAATGTCAGTGACTCTAAAGATGTGAATGTGGTTCCTTGCTAAAGAAGTCCTTTAACAGAATGCCGTCTTTTTTAATCATTCTGGGCCAAATCCTCTGTTTCTCCTCCTGACACACAGATTATTACTGGATTGCTCAACAGCATTAGTATACTTCTGGTGTAGGAATAAGGTATACATTTTAATACCTTTAATTTACCTTTTATGAAAGTGCCATTGCAGTTTCACAGTTAAGATTGAGTTGAATTTTAGTCATACAGCAGGGATTCAGCTACTTTGTTACATAGGAAGAATATAGCGTATTCTCCCCAAAATTATAGCACTTGCTCTTTAAGGACAGGTTTGATTTTTCTGGGCATTTACAATAAATCCATTAAGATCTTTAATATTTAAAATTAAAAATAGGTCTACAATGAAGCAGAGAAACTGCCAGCTAGCCCTGCCCCATTATACCTGCAGCCAATTCCAGGCCTGTAGAGTGGAGAAAAGGAGAGAGCCTGGCTCATTTTGGGGCTGACTGGTGGAGCTATGACAGGAGCTAGCCGCCTCTCTATGTGAGGGGAAGGATCACTAACCTGCCCGCCAAGGCAGCCACCTGGAAGGAAGCACTGTCACCCCAGCCATGGGAGACTGTGGAGGAGACCTAAGAGCCTTCAGCTATGGAGGCTACTGAATGGGCAAAGCCCAGGGTTGTTGTAGGGCTCAGCATGACCAACTTGCAGCTGCCCAGTCCAAAGGAGACTGAGTCTGTGACAAGGTGCTGCTCACGACCCGTGAGAGGACCCTATGGGAAGCAGGCCACCCAACTAATTGGACTAGAGTTGCCACGCCCCAAAATGAACAGACACTGGTAGGAAGTAGCCCAGGGCAGCAAATTTGGACTCCCTACAACAGAGGTGGGTAAACTACGGCCCACAGGCCACATCCAGCCTACGGGACTGTTCTGCCTGGTCCTTGAGCTCCCGGCCCGGGAGGCTAGCCCCCAGCCCCTCCCCTGTTGACAATCCTGATTCAAACCAAGTTTTTGGATTCAAGGATAAAGTGTTCTCCCAGAACTGGATGAGGTGTTCTGGATAAGCAGAGTGGAAAAGGTCTCAGAGGGAATCCCAGCAACTGATAGGTCTCAAAATGTAATTGTAATCTGGGAATCATCATAGAATTGGTGTGTTTCTAGTAGGGGCACACAGAGATTGGTTGTTGGCCCTGCACTATTTAACCTTTTTATTAACAACCTGGAAGAAAGCATAAATTCATCATTGATAAAATTTTGCAGATGACACAAAAATTGGGGGAGTAATAAACAATGAAGAGGACAGGCCACTGATTCAAAGCAAACTGGATTGTTTGGTAAACTGGGTGCAAGAAAACAATATGTGTTTTTCTATGGGGGAAGGATAGCTCAGTGGTTTGAGCATTGGCCCGTTAAACTCGGGGTTGTGAGTTCAATCCCTGAGGGGGCCATTTAGGGGTCTGGGGCAAAAATTGGGGATTGATCCTGCTTTGAGCAGGGGGTTGGACTAGATGACCTCCTGAGGTCCCTTCCAACCCTGATATTCTATGATTCTATGAAATATAAATATATACATCTAGGAACAAAGAACACAGGCTATACTTACAGGATGAAGGATTCTATTCTGGGAAGCAGTGACTGAAAAAGATTTGGGGGTCATGGTGGATAATCAGCTGAATGTGAGCTCCCAAGGTTATGCTGTGGCCAAAACGGCTAATACAATCCTTGGATGCATAAACAGGGGAATCTCAAATAGGAGCAGAGAGGTTATTTTACCTCTGTATTTGCCATGCTGGAATTCAGCAATCACTTCTGATGGCCACAATTCAAGAAGGACGTTGATAAATTGGAGAGGATTGAGAGAAGAGAGTGATAGACTCAAGGAGCTCAATCTGTTTAGTTTAACAAAGCAGAGGTTAAGGGGAGACTTGATTAGAGCCTGTAAATGTCTACATGGGGAACAAATATTTAATAATGGGCTCTTCAACCTAGCAGACAAAGGTATACCAAGATCCAATGGCTAGAAGTGGAAACTGGACAAATTCAGATTGGAAATAAGGTGTAATTTTTTAATGGTGAGGATAATTAACCATTGGAACAATTTACCAAGGGTTGTGGTAGATTTTCCATCACTGACTACTTTTAAATTAAGATTGGATGTTTTTCTAAAAATATCTACTCTAGGAATGATTTTGGGGAAGTTCTATGTCCTGTGTTATAGAGGACTTTGATCCTTCTCATTACATTTGATTTAAAGCCAAAAGTCAGTGTAACACTACTGAGTTTTAATGACCATTTTTATTAACCAGTTTATTACTCTAATTATGTAGCAATAATATAATTTTGGCATCATGTATGTCTCATTTAATCTTTTATGCAATCTCCTTTAGCTGTTTGAGTAAACTTTTGAGCCACTTTTGTTGAGAGCCTGCTTTTCTTTAATCCCTTGTCTGATCTTTTAGATCAGGCCTCATTATTGGGGAAGCAACCCCTAAGTTGAGGTTATTTTCCAGTATAAAAGATTCTGGAGATTTGTATTTTATTTTTAGAAGCTCTAATATCTCCATTGTTTGCAGCAAGCTTTTGGAATTTGGTCAGGAGAAAGCCTTGGAGCCAGAGGAAGTGCCCTTAGTTTGTCTCATAAAATTCTGTTCAGGCTTGAATGAAAGATGACCTATTGAAAATTTTAATTTTCCTTTCTCTTGCTTGCATTGTCAATAAAATGTTGGGAGTCTGCCAAAATTCCAACTAAATATGAGCTCATCTAAGGTCATGACCATGCTCCTGCAACCATCGCCCAGCGCACTGTGCTGGAAAGCTTGGGAGCAGCCCCTCTGGGAGGGAGAGAAAATGAGATGGACTCTTCCTGTCCATCTCCCCAACCCCCAAGAAGCCCCAATGGCCAATCCTCCCCACCCCCGGATGATAACCTGCTGTGAGTGAATGTAGTTAGTCCTATAGCGCAGGCTGTACTGTCCAGAGTTCAAACCCTGATGATGATGCATGATGGGGTTGTTAGAGGTGCAACAAATATAATTTACATACTTTTTTCCTTTAAAAGACCCTAGGAAATGACATACACTTTTTAAAAGAATGTTGTTTAGGTTGCAAAGTCAAGCACTCAAAAGTTAGGAAATCCCAGAATTCAGGTTGCCTGTGCAATCTTAATTCGGCCTCCTGTGCTCATGCATTGATAGTCTTTAGTTACATGATTACATACTATTTTTGTTACTTTCAAGTACTTGACTTTATAACCTTAATAGCATCATTTTAGTGTGTGCTTTATATATAAAACTGTATGTGTATTCAGAGAAAGAGATGAATGATACCAAAAAAAACCTCAGGCTTTTGGACTTCCCCCGGTGGTGGTCTTATTATTTTATCTATGCAATGTACTGCTCCCTCAAAGAGGGATAGAACACAAGCTCGGGGTGACGATTTTCAAACATCCTCCTGATGTTAGCTGTCTAATACCATATTTAGTCACCTGAATTAAGTAGTCTAATTTTCAAAAGTACGGAACACCCAGCACCTTCCATTGAGGTTCTGTGGTCTCCAACCTCCTCCATTTCTTCCTTTTGGTGGCTGTTTTCAGACTTCAGGACCTTTGTTCTTTGCCTAGGGAAACTTTTCTGGCTTTTTAATGAAAAATCTCCTGTTGACATATTGAAGTCAAGGGGAGTCTTTCCATTAATTTCAATGAGATTTGGCTTGTGCCCTCAGAGCAGAGGGAGTGGAATAAGCATTTTGTCTCTGACTAGTGTGTGATGGTGGGATATGTCTGTATAAAAGGGGGAACTCCATTTTGTATTATGTGCTGAACTCATGTCTTGTCTAGCCCAGCCCAGCCAAGGTTAATGAATTGCATTCCCAGTTACTTCCCTCTTCAGGAAAGGTGCTTGACACCAGCACTGAGAAGCCATCACAGAGCAATGGGGGCCTATAATTCTGGAATGGCTCTTTATTACTACCCCACCTCCATGGAACAATCAGTGTTTGCTCCCCTTCCTACTGACCCCTAGGCTGGAGCACTCCAGGGGAGCACATGGCAAGGAGAGGGAGACTCTTTAAAAGAGGGTGTGCTGCTCTGAGCAGAGGGCTGACTGTCACCACATTAGCAGGAGAGAGAACACAGAAGGGACTGTACCCAGCCTGAAATGCTGACAAACCTTGGACTCACAGAAGGGACATAGATCAGACTAAGGGAGGCTGTGTCTCTAGACTTTTGTTGTGTTTGAAGAGATCTTTAACTCTTGATGCTGTCAAGAGTAAAGTGACTGTGGTCAAGAAATTTGTTTGCTACCCCTGTGTTCTTTAATGTCCTGTCCCATTGTCCCTGAAGGGGCCAAACTAGAAGCCAGAGTGACCACATCAAGGTGGAACTCTGAAGGAATGCATGTAAGCGACTGGGGGGCTCAGGAGGTCTGAGACACTGGTTTTGAGGTCTGGGGTGGCTGGATCATCCCAAGGGAAGGGCTCAGACAAAGGGTCTGTCCTGCGTAGCCAGAATCTTTACCCAGACAGAGTTGACGTGGAAACACGTGAGACCTTGCAGTTGGGTCCACTTAGAACAGTCTGGTGTCTGTGCAGAGGGGTACTGGCCCTGGTGGTAACATAGTGCACACAGGTCTTTCCTGTAAGAAGACTCTCATGGGTCAGCCATTGCCAGTTATCTGAGTTTTCCAAAAAAGAGTCATGGTGGGTAACCCAGAGGAGAAATAACAAGGACCATCCCATTGATGATGTGCACTGAGTTAAATGTCAAAGGGAACAAATGTTGTCATTTGTAAATTTCAATAATCATTTACCAAATATCATTGGGCCTCCAGTTTTCTAGTTAAACTCATTATCAGATCTTCTCCAGAAAAGAGCACAAAACAGAAATACCATATAGTAGTGATTAAGAAAAGAAAAAAATATTTCTTATCCCATTTTCTCTCATTCCAGGTGCTGGGGCCATTTGTTGCATCTGAATTGTGTATCATTAGTTCTCTAAGCACCGTATCGGATTACCTGCTTCATGCACATGCACGGCACCATGGCCAGTCCTCAGGAGCACCTGAGCTGGCCTTCCTCTACAAACTTGATCACCAAGACTTTCAATGAAGACAAAGACTTCAGTGGGATACATGGTGATCATGCACCCACTGGAAACCATCCTTCACCTGAGATCATAGAGGATGTGCGAGAGAAGGGCTTACTTCAGGCAGATCTAATAGAAAATGTGGGCAGTCCAGTCACCACAGCAGTGTTGACCAGCATCAGCGAGGACTCTAGGGACCAATTTGAGAACAGTGTGCTGCAGTTGAGAGAACAGGATGAAGCAGAAACAGCTGTGCCTCAGGGCAACAGTAACACGATGGATGGAGAGAACAGTGGGACAGATGACATTAAAATTCAGTTCAGCAGATCCGGGAGTGGGAGCAGTGGGTTTCTTGAGGGACTTTTTGGCTGTTTGAGGCCTGTATGGAACATCATAGGGAAAGCATACTCCACTGACTACAAACTGCAGCAACAAGGTAAGCCTGTGCCACAGAAATGCTCCCAGTGCATTTCTTCTTCCCTTCATTTCTTTTAAAGTGAAGTGTGTGAGGATGCTAAAACAAATGAAATCCCTTTCCCAGCTTTCCACATGACCATTTGTCTGACATTCTCTCATACCTAACATACAGAGTTGCACAGAAAACAGTCACTCCATAGTGAACCGCAAGCACAGAATTGTATAAGCTAGAGCTGGAAAAGACTACTTTTACATGATCTACTCCATCCCCTGAACTGGGAAGTGGCGGACTTCGAAGTTGAGACAATTATTTAAATTAGTCGGGATGTGGTGGGGCGGTGCCCCACTCCCAGGGGGGCCAGACTGGGCTACAGCAAGCCAGAGCGGCTGCGCGGTCAGCCAGCCAATCAGAGAGGGCCTGCAGGGAGCCAATCAGGGCCAGGCTAGGCTCTATATAAAGGCTGCCCAGGCGAGAGGCGGGGAGTCTCTCCCAGACCTTCAAGGGAGAAGGTCTGTCTCCTGAGCAAAGGAGACCAGCACCCAGGACAGCGCAGTGCTGGGCAGGCTTGCGGGAGCTGAGGAAAGCTCCAGCCCCATACCTGGCAGGCTGCAGGCCCTAATAGAAAGGCCCACAAGGTGCAAGGGGGCCGAAGGGGGAAGCAGCCCAGGGAGGAGAGGCGGACAAGGGGAGTGAAGGAGGGCAGGGAGGCTGCCGCCAGAGGGTCACTGGGCTGGGACCCAGAGTAGAGGGCGGGCCTGAGTCCCCCTTTCCCCCTTGTCCTACACCTGGCCATTAGAAGTGGCCATAATGGACTGCACACTACCCCTGATAGAAGGGGTTAGACTTTGGGGATTGGTTGGCCACTGCGGCTGGGGTGAAGCGAAAAGACTGCTGTTAAACCTCCCCCCCTTCCCTGGAAGGGGGTGAGCATGGACTAGGGGGCAATGTCCTGAAGAGAATGCTACGAGAAGGGAGCAACATGGGTCCAGACACCAACGGAGGGTGAGAGACGGACGGGACACCACCAGTGGAGGGTGCTCCACGTGGACTGAGCTAATTCCCAGAGGTACCAACGGGAGGCGCTGCAGTGGTGAGACCCAACCCCGTCACACAGGACTAGAGAAATCTATGGGGAACCTAAGGAACGTAATCAAGTTAGGTGATTGGGCAGCACATGGCTGATTAAAAATAATGTTGACAAATGCAAGGTAAGGTACAGTGGAGGAATAGTTGGAACTGCTCACACACCTTCCACCATACAATCTTAATGCAGGATTTTCCCGTGCTGAATGTATTAGCTAGTGTTGTGTCCAGTCTGGTACTAAATATCTGAAACATTGGGGCTTCCATCACTTCCCTGTGAGAATATTCCACTGCCTCGTACATCTTGTTGTCAGGAAGACTTTCAACATTTAACTTTTCGCTCCCTTTTACCTCCCCTCCCTACCACGCTGAACAATTTTTCTGTGATCTTGGTGTTTACACTTTTCATATATTTGTGGACAGTTGTTATACCCTGCATCCTTTAATTCTGATACAAAAGAGCAGGACAGAAAGAGGTGGCATGAGAACAAATGGATTGCCAAAAATTATGGATATTAATGAAAATTGTTAATGTGTTAATGAGGTTATGAGCGTAAGGCCTACATATAGTATATCTTTAAAAGTATAACCTGTCCCCAGCTTTGGGAAAGGAAAAAGACAGATTAGAACAAGTTGTCATTTGAAATAGGGAGGTGTGACGGGGTGAACACACCTCGCACTGGACTGGGAAAGGTTAACTCCTCACTGTGGGCAGAGGAAGCCACGCCCCCACATCCCTACTGGGCATGCTCTAGGTGTAGCACCAGTATAAGAGGGAGCAGCCCAGCTCAGTCTGGGCTGACCGCTGGAGAGGAAGGATGCTCCTTGCTGGCTCCTGACCAGGAGCCACTGACGCCCTGGCCTGCGGAAGCCAGAGGCGCCAAGACCCAAGCAGATGCCCAGCTACCTGTGGATGCCCCAGGGAGGTCTGAGCTACAGGGAGTTGCACTGGCCAAGGAACCCAGAGACCCCAAAGGTGTGCAGACTGCCACCGGAAGTAACATGGTAGGTAGGAAATAGCCCAAAGGAGGACTAGCCATTGTCCTGATGATGGTCAACGTGTTGCAGACAGATCCCCGCTGACCCAGTGGCAGACACTCACCACTGACAGGGCCCTGATCTGGGATCCGGTGGAGCAGGGAGGACCCAGTCCCCCTACCGTGGCCCACACACCCCAATGGACCGCAAGGCCATACAGCCCCGCCTGGAGGGCAATTCTATTGTAAGGAATGTGGGTGAAGCCAAGCAGCAACAATTAAGATTTTTGTACACCAATGCAATGAGCCTGGATAACAAAATGGAGGAACTCGAACTACTGGTGCAGGAAGTGAAACCAGATATTATACGGATAACAGAAATATGGTGGAATAGTAGTCATGACTGGAGTACAGGTATTGAAGGATGTGTGCTGTGCAGGAAAGACGGAAATAAAGGCAAAGGTGGTGGCGTAGCATTGTATATTAATGATGAGGTAGACTGTAAAGAAATTAGAAGTGATTGAATGGGTAAGACAGAGCCTGTTTGGGCCAAAATCACTTTGGGAAAGAAAGCTACTAGAGGTTCCCTAGGGATAGTATTTGACGTATTCTGCAGACCCCCAGGATCTGATTTGGATATGGATAGAGACCTCATTAATGTTTTTAATGAAATAAATACTACTGGGAATTGTGTGATTATGGGAGACTTTAACTTCCCAGATATAGCTTGGAGGACAAATGCTGCTAATAATAGTAGGGCACCGATTTTACTGGATGTGATAGCTGACAGATTTCTTCACCAAATAGTCACTGACTCAACAAGGGTCAAGCATTCCCTTTTAGATTTGGTATTGGTGAGTAGTGAGGACCTCATGGAAGAAATGGTTGTAGGGGACAACTTTGGTTCAAGTGATCATGAGCTAATTCACTTTGAACTAAATGGAAGGCTAAACAAAAATAGATCTACAACTAGGGTCCTTGATTTCAAAAGGGTTAACGTAAAAAAAATTAAGGGAACTGGTTAGGGAAGTGGACTGGACCGAAGAACTCAAGGATCTGAATGTGTAGGAGTCTTGGAATTATTTTATCAAAGTTGCAGAAACTACCTGAAGCCTGCATCCCAAGCAAGGGAGAAAAATTCATGGGGAAGTGTTGCAAACCCATCTGGATGAGCAAACATCTCAAACAGGTGATTGAAAGAGCCTACAAGGAATGGAAGATGGGATGGATGAGCAAGGAAAGACCTCTTGGAGGTCAGAAAGTGTAGGGATAAAGTGAGGATAGCTAAAAGCCAAGCAGAGTGGGACTTTGCAAAAGGGAATCAAAACCAATAGTAAAAGGTTCTACAGCCATATAAATAAAAAGAAAACAAGGAAAGAAGAAGTGGGACCGCTAAGCACTGAGCGTGGGGTGGAGATTAAAGATAATCTAGGCATGACCCAACACCTAAACAAATACTTTGCCTCAGTTTTTAATAAGGCTAATGAAGAGCTTAGGGTAGTGGCAGGGTGGCTAATGGGAACTAGGATTTTGAGGTAGAAATTAGTACATCTGAGGTGGAAGTCAAACTCAAACAGCCTAATGGGACGAAATCGGGGGTGGGGGGTGGGTTTGGATCATTTTCATCCAAGAATATTAAAGGAAATATTAAATGAAATTGCAAGCCCAATAGCAAGGATTTTTAATGAATCTGTAAACTCTGGGATCGAACCCTGTGAATGGTGAATTGCTAATATAGTTCCTATTTTTAAGAAGGGGAAAAAAGGTGATCTGAGAAACTACAGACCCCTTAGTTTGACCTCAGTTGGTATGCAAGGCCTTGGAACAAATTTTGAAAGAGAAAGTAGTTAAGGTGAACGGTAACTGGGATAAAATACAATGTGGTTTTACAAAAGGTAGACCGTGCCAGACCAACCTGATCTCCTTCTTTGAGACGATAACTGGTTTTTTAGACAAAGGAAATGCAGTAAATCTAATCTACCTGGATTTCAGTAAGGTATTTGGCACAGTTTCACGTGGGAAATGATTAGTTAAATAAGAGAAGATGGGGATTAATATGAGAATTGAAAGGCGGATAAGAAACTGGCTGAAAGGGAGACTACAATAGGTCATACTGAAAGGTGAACTGTCAGGCTGGAGGGAGGTTACTAATGGAGTTCCTCAGGGATCAGTCTTGGGATCAATCTTCTTTAACATTGTTATTAAAGACCTCAACACAAAAAGCGGAATTGTGCTAATAAAATTTGTGGATGACACAAAGTTGGGACGTATTACTAATATGGAGGAGGACCAGAATATCATACAAGAAGATCTGGATGACCTTGTAAACTGGAGTAATAGAAATGGGATGTAATTTAATAGTGTAAAGTCCAAGGTCATGCATTTAGGGACTAATAACAAGAATTTTTGCTATAGGCTGAGGACATATCAGTTGGAAGTGATGAGGAGGAGAAAGACCTGGGTGTATTGGTTGATCACAGGATGACTATGAGCCGCCAGTGTGATGTGGCCGTGAAAAAGGCTAATGCAGTCTTAGGGTGCGTCAGGTGAGATATTTCCAGTAGATACAGGGCAGCGTTAGTACCATTATACAAGGCACTGATGAGATCTCATCTGGAATTCTGTGCACAATTCTGGTCTCCCATGTTTAAAAAAGATGAATTCAAACTGGAACAGATCCGAGGAAAGGAAACCCTATTTTATGAGAGGAGACTCAAAGAGCTTGGCTTGTTTAGCCTAAGCTAAAGAAGTCTGAGGGGAGATATGGTTGTTCTCTATAAATACATCAAAGGGATAAATACCAGGGAGAGAGAGAGAAGTTATTTAAGTTAAGTGCCACTGTGGACACCAGAACAAATGGACATAAACTGGCCCTCAAAAGTTTAGGCTTGAAATTAGACAAAGGCTTCTAATGATCAGAGGAGTGAAGCTCTGGAACAGCCTTTCAAGGGGAATAGTGGGGACAAAAAATCCTAACTAATTTAAAGACTGAGTTTGATAAGTTTATGGAGGGGATGGGTATAATGAGACTTCCTACAATGACATGTAGCCGATCTGTGACTGCTAGCAGAAATTATCTCCAATGCTTGGTGATGGGACACTAGATGGGGAGGACTCTGAGTTACTACAGAGAATTCTTTCGCAGGTGTCTGGCTGGTGGGTCTTGCCCACGTGTTCTAGGGTCTAACTAATTGCTGTATTTGGGGTCAGGAAGAAACTTTACCCCTGGTCTGATTGGCAGAGACCCTGAAGGTTTTTCACCTTCCTCTGCAGCATGGGGCACTGGTCACTTGCAGGTTTAAACAAGTGTAAATGGCAGTCTCTCTGTAACTTGAAGTCTTTAAATCATGATTTGAGGACTTCAGTAACTCAGCCAGAGGTTAGGGGTCTATTACAGGAGTGGGTGGGTGAGGTTCTGTCACCTGCATTGGGCTGAAAACCAGCTAGATCGGGGGTACTCAAACTTTTTTTTGCTGAGCCCCTCTTTGAAAATGTTTCACGCTGTGATGACACACACACTCCAAAAGTGAGAGCAAATTACTATGCATACTCATAGGAGCACCAAGTTAAGTATGTAATCATTATCCCTGCAGTCAAAGGCACTGAAGCCTTTCAACAAATGTAAAGTAGGCTTACCATATTTCAAGTTTCCAAGTAGAGGACACTGCCGGGGGGAAAGGGAAGCTGGGGATGGGTGGGTACAGCAATACTGTACCAGGCCACCCTTACTTCTGCACTGCTGCTGGCAGGAGTGCTGCCTTCAGAGCTGGGCAGCAGCCCTCGCTCTCTGCCCCCCCAGCTCTGAAGGAGCGCTGCCGCCAGCAACATTACAGAAATAAGAGTGGCAATACCATACCGTCTCACAATGCCCTATAATAGCCTTGTGACCCTCTTCTGTGTCGACTGCCAGTTTGAAAAGCGCTGGACTAAATGATCACGATGGTCCCATTTGTCCTTAAAGTCTACGAGTCTGTGTGTGTGAATAAATATGATGGCTACAAATGTTCCTTGGAAATTTTTAACTGTTTGTTGAATAACAGAAAACCAAATTTTTAGAGGAAACTGTCCAGACTGTATCTTCCATAAAGTGCCATAGTCCCCCTGTGTTGATGATGCATCCTTGGACATAGTGTGTCATGGAAAATGTAGTCTGGCTAGGGAACCTGGCCCATACAGGAGACTGTGGTCAGAAGACCCTGTTGCAGTGCTGCGGAAGAATATCTGAATCAAACTTTTTGGTTTTTCGATGTTTGGGTTTTGGCAAAAAACTTTCCACCAAAATCAGACACAGCCGATTCTATGATGCAATCTGCTTCTCTGGTGGAGCATACTTGTTTGGTGAAGGCAGTTTTAAAACCACCAGAGAAGTAGATCTCATAATGTAACAGGCCATCCAGATACCCAGGAGAACCTGCTTCAGTACAGGGGGAAAAAATCCCATTAGTCACACTCTGCTAGTTGTCACTTGTCACCCCACACTAGACCCCATATGGGGTATCAAACAGTTACAACCCATATTTGATGGAGACCACTTCTTGATAGAAATCTTTCCGAAACCCCATCTTCTGGCTTTCAAACAACCCCCCCATCCCTAACCTCATGAGGCTTATCAGAAACAAGCTCCCCATAGACCAGGACTCACCAATTCAAAGTGGTACCAGATTCTGCCAGAACAGATGCAAAACTTGTAGACATCTTTCCACTGCTACAATGATCAATACCCTTTCAAGATCCATGCGTCTTGATACCCTTTCAAGATCCATGCCTGTTACAAGATGTACCTCATCAAATGCCCAAACAACAACAACTATGTGGGTGAAATGAGACAATCACTATGCTTTCGAATGAACTCACACAGAAAAATGATAAAAGACAAAAACACCTGTGACAAAGCTCTGTCCTTGCCTCCGTGGGTCCCACGTTTCCTGGTGGATTTCGCTAGCCTCAGAGGCTCACTGTGACCCTCCATGTAACCCTTCTCTCTCTAGAGACAAGGGTCACAGTCTACTGAGCCATGTTCATCATAAGCCAGTGAGGGAGGTGAGGAGAAGTTATTTTTCCTTGCACAGTCTCTGTTGTCTCCCAGTCTCAGTGATTAATCAGACGGGAAAGGGGGAGGGGAGCCCAGGCCCGCCCTCTACTCCAGGCTCCAGCCCAGGGACCCTAATAGTATCAGCTATGGTAACTGACCTTTTAGAAACATGACATGTATAATTCCCTGGGCTACTTCCCCCACAGCAGCCCTCACTTCCTCAAGCTCCACTTCACCCTTACCTCAGGGCCTCCTTCCTTGTGCCTGATATGGTGTGTACTACTCAGTCTCTCCAACAGCACAGTTTCCTCCCACAGCTCCTGACATACCCACCCACCTGACTAACTGGGAGGCTTTTAACTAGTTTCAGCCAGCCCCTGATTGGCTTCAGGTGTCCGAATCAACCTAGCATTCTCCCTGCCTTCTGGAAAGTTCTTAATTGGCACCAGGTGTCTTAATTGACCTGAAGCAGCTGCTATTTCACTTATCCTGGTACCAGGGATTTGTTTAGCCTGGAGCTAATATATCTATCTCCCACTACTTTTCTATAGCCGTCTGGCCTTGCCCCGTCACACACCATACCTTTCATGGGCAAATACTTTTCATAAAGCAATCATTTAATATCTGACCTCTCAGTCCTCATCCTTAAAGGAAATTTGCACAGCACCTTCAAAAGAGCCTGGGAACTTAAATTCATAACTCTGCTGGACACCAAAAACCATAGACTTAACAGAGACACTGGTTTTGGGGCCACTTACAGCAACTTGTAACATACGCTGCTTCCTACTAACCCACCATTCTCCTACTTGACTCCAGAGGTGTTAATTGCGCTTTTCATTTTAAGTGGTCTCTTACAACATGTGAACCATTTATGCTTAACAATCTATCCCACTTGTATTTATCTTTGACACTGTAGTTTCCTTCTCTAGACCTGAAGAAGAGTTCTGTGAAGCTTGAAAGCTTGTCCTTTCCATCAACAGAAGTTGGTCCAATAAAAGATATTGTCTCGTCCGCTTTGTCTCTCATATCCTGGGACCAACATGACTACAACACTTCAAACAAATACATTAACTGACATTTTCCATTTAACTTCATGCCTTTAAAAATTAGAGATTCATAGATTCCAAGGCCAGAAGGGACCATTGTGATCATCTAGTCTGAACTCCTGCATTACACAGGCCAGAGAACTTCACCAAAGTAATTCCTAGAGCAACACGTCTTTTAGAAAAAACATCCAATCTTAATTTAAAAATGGTCAGTGACAGAGAATCCACAACACTTGGTCAATTGTTCCAATGCTTGCTTACTTTCACTGTTAAAAATGTATACCTTATATTGAAATCAAGATGATAAAATTAGTAGATGTCAAAGTGCAATCTGTGGGGCAAAGTTCAAGTTGTGATGTGAGGAAACATGCATTTCTTTGTAGTTCTGAAGAAAAATGTGTGTGTTTTATTATGTGACCAGTGTAACTCTTATGATGTACTTAACATATCTTGCTTTAAGTGCTTGGGTTTTCTAAATGATGTGTTAGATAACTTAGTTGTTGTCACTGAGCAACCTTAGCTGTCTTTTTAAACAGTTTTTAGTTTTTATACCAGTGGTGGGCAACCTGCAGCCTACGGGCCACATGTGGCCCATCAGGGTAATCTGATCGCGGGCCGCAAGACATTTTGCTGACATTGACCATCCTCAGACACAGCCCTCTGCAGCTCCCAATGGCTGCAGTTCACTGTTCCCAGCCAATGGGAGTTATGGGAAGCGGCAGACTGCACATCGCTGTGGCCCACTGCTTCCCGCAGCTCCCATTGGCTGGGAACGGCGAACTGCGGCCACTGGGAGCTGCAGCGGGCCGTGCCTGCGGACAGTCAATGGTCAGCAAAATGTCTTGCAGCCCACAGTCAGATTACCATGATGGGCTGCAGGTTGACCACCACTGTTTTATACTCGGCCCACTGTTGGCTCCATATTTATTGCCTTCCCTTCTGTGCCCTGTTTTACCCCATTTAAACAAAAATGATTAAAGGTCTAGAAAACATGATGTATGAAGAAAGATTGAAAAAATTGGGTTTGTTTAGTCCGGAGAAGAGAAAACTGGGGAAGGCAGGAGGTAACATGTCAAGAGTTTTCAAGTACATTAAAGGTTGTTACAAGGAGGAGTGTGAAAAATTGTTGTACTTAACCTCTGAGGGTAGGACAAGAAGCAATAGCTTAAATTGCAGCAAGGGAGGTTTAGGTTGGACATCAGGAAAAACTTCCTAACTGTCAGAGTGGTTAAACACTGGAACAAATTGCCTAGGGAGGTTATAGAATCTCTATCATTAGAGGTTTTTAAGAGCAGGTTAGACAAACACCTGTCAGGAATGGTCTAGTTATTGCTTAGCCCTGCCTTGAGTGGAGGGGACTGGACTAGAGGACTAATGAGGTCCGTTCCAGTCCTACACTTCTATGTTTCTGTGGTTTTCCTGTAGAAAAACCCTTCAATTTGTTTTGGCCATTGTGGATTTTAAACGTTTCCTTTTATCGGAATGTTTGGATTGTCTATAGTTATATGTTTAATGTTGTACAGCCCCGCTCCCTCCCTCCTTGAACTTCACCGAAGAAGGGACACTCTCCAAATTCTCAGATGTGAAAGTCTCAAGTATATTAACTTATTGTATCACATTAGCAGCTCACAAAGATTTTGAATGTGTTACTGAGCTACTTGGTGAAAAGGTCATAAGAGATGACAAAGGAGTTGACAGTCACTGTCTCCGGTATGACCTTGCAACAGAGCACTGCATGAACTTGGAGATCTTCTAAGCTATGTGCCTTGCTTGTGTATTACCAGATACATGGGAAGTTCCTTTTGAGGAGATCTCAGAGCTGCAGTGGTTGGGCAGTGGAGCGCAAGGCGCTGTCTTCTTAGGCAAATTCCGAGCGGAGGAGGTGGCAATCAAGAAAGTGAGAGAACAGAATGAAACCGACATCAAGCACTTGCGGAAGCTGAAGCATCCTAACATCATCGCCTTCAAGTAGGTCATGACTTCTGTTATCTAGATAATTACTAGAAAAGTAATAACTTGTTTTTTTCCAGAAGAAGGCATTGTTAGCCATCATGTCCTGGCCAAATGGTGAGCTCCGAGTACACGACTTGCCTTCTGGTTTATCCAATCTTCCATAGTTAAAACTGGAAACGTATTCTGCCCCTCCTCTCACGCACAGGTATGTAGTGTTGTGGGCACTGTTATGGTGTGCAACATTCCAACCCAGAGGGGTTATATAGACACTCATACACACAAAAACACAGTCCTGTGAACTTCGCACATCTACAGGTAAAGGAAAGACCAAGGAAACTATTGCCAGAGAGATTTCCCCATGCACAAAGCCCATGGGAAACTTTTCCTGTCCTGTCCATCGGGGAGAGCCTCACTACTGGGGAGAAGGAGAACAATGCGTAGAGCTGTAGTCAGGCAGAGTGAACAGAGCTGATCAGAAGAGCAACTCCTCTCCCCCTTGAGTGAGAATGAGTTGCTCCTTAGACTGTGCTCTGCGGGCTCCAGCTATGCTTAGTGAAGCTATTTAAAGATGATGGTGAGACCCAAGAACATTCAGACAGGAGAACAGGAACAGCTTCAGGTTTATGGTGGGCAGCCTGTATAAAATGCTCCCTTTCCAACTGGCAGCAATCCGTGGGTGATCACTGAGTAACTGGCTGGGGTGGTGCCTAATCCATGTCACTGGGGCATGCAGGTCTATCCTTATCTAGATGACTGGCACAAGAGCATAGTCTTGCAATTGGTGTAGTTCACACCCTGTGGAAGGTGCATTCTCTCGTCATAACTGTCTGAGAGAGAACAAAGAAAGATCTACTGTAGTCCTTATTCAGGTTTTAAAATTCCCAGGGACTACCAAGTCCTCTTGGCCTGTAGCTTGCCTGCATCAGGACAGGTTCATGGTCTCATCCTAGGAGCAGATCCAGGCAGGACAAATTTTCAAGGCTCTGTGAAATGTGATTTGAGAGGGCTACATGATGGTGTGCTCCTCAGGTTGAGGACTCTCTGAGATGGTCTATACACCAGAGAATGTCTTAAAGGACATGGCCTTTTTTCCAACCTGCTCCTTAGTTAAATCCCAACTCTTCAAGGTACTTAAGCACAAGCCTGACTCTGTGTTATGTGAGGATCCCATGAAAGTCTGAACACCCAGGGCAACTTGCGCTCTATGTTGCACAGGTGTGTTTAAATCAGAAGAGCTTTGAGGGTGCTGCTTCTTCTTTCTCACAGCAAGTGGGGAGGATTTCCTCATCAGTGTCTATTGAGTGCTAGGTCAGGGCATGGCTGATGGACTGACAGGGTGTGTGCTGTACTGGTGTGGGCCCATCCACCTGTACTTATTGTAGTCAGTAGCATACGTGGGGATTGGAAATGCTGCTTTTTAGGGGACAGAATGAGGTATTCTGCCCACTGCATTCAGCCTGGGCTGGCAGGATGGCATATGGACCCTTCCTAAAGCCAACACCTTATTGCTTCCATCCAACAATGTTCTTGCTGCAAGGGCAGAATTTTGCCATTAACCCAATCTGAATTCGTGTTATTGCAAAACATAAAAAGGCAAGAGCTCTCGCAGAGCTATCAGTCTCTACAGCCCTCATCCTCTTAAAGGACTGAACTGAATTGTACTTGAACTTGCAACAGATCTTCTCGGAGCAGGCATAACACTAGAGTGTGCATAAAGCAAAACCAGATCTTGCAGCTCTGTGGTGTAAGTAGGTAATTTATTACTGGAGTTACTTACTGGGCATGGTTGATATGCTCAGTGCTGTACAAAACATGGACACAGTCCATGCCCTAAGGAGACAGACCATATAGTACAGACAAATAATCTAAGTCGATTTTACTCCTAACCCCATTTGTTATCCAAGTGATGCCTGCAGATACTTCCCAACCTAATTTAACTTTTGCTGCAAGAGGATTTTTGAATAGTACTAAAATATATGGTGAGTGTTAACAAGAATTTAGCTCCAAATGGAGTGGAGATGAACCCTTATTCTGTTAACCTGGCTGAATACTAATACAAGGTCCAGGTTAGAGCTACTTTAATGTGGAATTTCTGCTAATTCAGTGGGAGCTCTTCACGTGACGCAGCTGTAAAACTGAGCCCAGAGTGACTTAGTAGAAGGCAAGCCAATCAAACGAATTATGTGACAAGTTAGAAGGTGACTGCAGTGGTTCAATGAACACAAGCCGTGTTTCTCCAAAGCATGTCTGACAAGATATGGAATAAATATAAAACCTACTATTTTGACCTAACTTTGACATAGGAACACCACACAAACAAATACAAACAAACCCGAAGTAAAAAATAAAGTCTAAGTCCTGCTGACTGGAGATGGATCTGTTTTCTGTAATCTTAGTGGGAAGGGAGGAGGAGAAAATGTAGAAGAAATAGTAATAGAAATATTACTTTTAATCTAATAGTGTCACATTATTAGCTGGTTAATCAAAATGCTGGGGGACTAATGGGGTCTCACAGAATGGAAGTTTTCTCATGGAAGGTTAGCTCTCTTCAGGCATTTTGGCATTGAACTACACTAAAGTTTGTATTTGCTATGTGTCTGGTGTTCCAGAGCTCTTCCTGATTGAGCATTTACTAAGGCATGGTTTTTGTTTTCCTGTGAAGCATCGAAAGCCCCTGTCATTGCTTGACCTGGGGGCTCTGTAGTCTGATCTGGACCTGTATGGCAATGTCTGTGTTCCTTTGCCTGTATCCCTGGAGAATGAAGGTCAATACTAGAAAGTAAAAGCCAAAGACATAAACCTACAGAGCAGCTTCTGCTTCTATAGACAAACTTAATTTCTCCACATATGAGTCAGGTGCACAGTTGACACGTTCCAGATAAAGAACAACGGTCTAATTTTCAAAAATGCTGAGCCCCTACAGCTCCCTGCCAGGAAAGTCAATGAGCTCTGGGCATTCAGATCACAATGGTATATTTTTGAGTTCAGAGAATCCCTTTGATACTGAGTGTTGGGTTTGATTTGCAGTAATGTGTATAGTGTTTGTGTGTTCTCTGACAGGGGAGTTTGCACTCAAGCTCCATGTTACTGTATTATCATGGAGTACTGCGCACATGGACAGCTCTATGAAGTGCTACGAGCGGGTCGGAAAGTCACGCCTCGGCTGCTTGTGGACTGGTCCACAGGGATTGCAAGTGGAATGAATTACTTACACCTTCATAAAATCATCCACCGAGACCTCAAGTCACCAAAGTAAGTCCTTGGGTGCTTAAAACTCTGAAAAAGTAGATTTTTGAGTGAATTCCTCCAGCAAATGGATATCGAGCTAGATATGGGGCCCTTAAACTTTCTCATGGTCTGGCCCATAACTTGAGAGAGATTTGTCTTGTGGCTCCTCTGACCTGTTTGTAACTGCATGGACCATCTCTGCTCCCATTTATACTAGCATAACATCTCTGTTATGCACGAGTTGCTTATGTGGGAAAGTAATAGTAGGGAAACATGTATGCTAATGAGATGTCTGTTTTGCCCTTTTGAAAAAGTGAATCACTCTGTCTCCTTCTTCTCTATTTTGTCTGTCTTTCTTGTCTGTTTTGTTCTGGTCTCATCCCCTGCTCTCCTGAATGTGTATCTTCCTCTTCTCCTGCACCTGTTCCCCTGCTGATACTGCCCAGCTGTCTTATCTCGTTCACCCTGGACATTGCTTCAGCCTCACCCTTCCTTCACTGTTTACAGCACGCGGTGTGACTGTGGTTCTGTTATTGTATCTGTATTTGGCTGTAAATGTTTTAAATGGTATGTTACATTGTTTGGGCAGTGAGGTTCTTATTGTTACATCACTTATTATTTATATTATTGCTAGTTTGAATATCAAGATAAATTTTCCAACAAATAGTTCTACATTTTTCTGTAATTGTTACCTCTAATTATACTGTATACAGTATATACCTGCATATGGCTAATTGCATTTTTCCATCTTAGTAGTCATTTTGTGTTAAAACATGTATTTAAAAGAAGTTTGAAAGTCCCCCAAATATAGTCAACCTTGATGTTCCCCGTTATGACTCTGTTACAGTCGGTTTACACCAGGATGGACTTTGGCCTCTAGAATTTAGAATCAGAGTTTGGAAAAAAATCAAAAGAATTTTGTGGTAATTCATCTGTGAAGCTGCAGTATTATTAACCCTGTACTCTGACCCTGTCAAACAGCCTCACCAATACGTAATACTGATTTGAAACAGAGCCATTTGCTAACAATAGCTACTGCACTAAGATCTTGAATGACTGTGGTTAAAATTGAGGCTTTAGATAGGAAGTGTTTGAGCTAGATTCCAAGAGGGAGGAGCTTTGTTTCCAGAACAGTGTAGTTTATGGGGCCATGGGTTTGAGCAATGATAGAAACCAGGAGCCCTTGATCAGTAGGGCTGGAGACAGACAAGCAAAAATGTTAGTGTAGATTGCTCTACTGATTTTATTTCAGCACTACCTTATTAATGATGCAAAGCAAGGAAGAGGTCATTATGACTCCCTCCCATGTTGGCGGAACAACTGGATCTGGTGGAGTTACATAAGAAAAACTTGTTCTGAACAGAGGGAGAGAATTTACCGAAACTAGCAAATTAATTCCATTTACTGATCAAATTGTTTTAAAGCTTTAGTTCCTGGCTGCTAGGTCCAGATAAACCACTAATTCTTACACCCTCACTTTGCCCATTGATAAAATAGTTATAGTTTATACCTGACAGTGTTAGTGGGTGACAAAAAACTTTAAGATCCACTTCTGAAAGTTGCTAGGGAAGTGCAAAGCGTTTTCTCATTGCTGATACCTTGTGTTTTTCCCTCTCTCTCCAGTGTATTAGTCACTCATACAGATGCAGTAAAAATTTCAGATTTTGGTACTTCTAAAGAACTCAGTGATAAAAGTACAAAAATGTCCTTTGCGGGCACTGTGGCTTGGATGGCCCCAGAGGTGATACGGAATGAGCCCGTCTCTGAAAAAGTGGATATCTGGTGAGCAGTACTGTCATGTTAATTACACATCTTCACCTTCCTTTCAACCAGTCAGATCTTCCCATTATATAGCATTTCCAGCACTCTATACTCACCAGAAGGTCTGTCTCATTGCTCTCTACTGGACTTTCCATTCTCAGAGATGCTGCTAAATATTATATGTAGGGCCCTACCAAATTCATGGTCCATTTTGGTCAATTTCATGGTCATTGGATTTTAAAAATAATAAATTTCATGATTTCAGATATTTAAATCTGAAATTTCATTGTAATTGTTGTAACTGTAGGGGTTCTGACCCAAAAAGGGTTGGGAGGGGCACAAGGTTATTGTAGGGGGGGGTCACAGTATTGACACCCTTAGTTCTCTGTTGCTGGCAGTGGCGCTGCCTTCAGAGCTGGGCGGCCAGAGAGCAGTGGCTGCTAGCCAGGAGCTCAGGTTTGAAGGCAGTGCCACGGCCAGCAGTAGCGCAGAAAAAAGGATGGCATGAGATGGTATTGCCACCCTTACTTCTGTACTGCCTTCAGAGTCGGTTGCCTGGCCAGCAGCTTCTGCTCTTCAACCACCCGGCTTTGAAGGCAGCGCAGAAGTAAGGGTGGCAATACCACACCCCCTCCAGTAATCTTGCAACCTTTTGGATCTGGACCCCCAGTTTGAAAAACGCTGATCTCCCTTGTGAAATCTGTATATTATAGGGCAAAGGTACACAAAAGACCAGATTTCATGGGGGAGGTCAGATTTCACGGTCCATGACGCATATTTCCTGGCCGTGAATTTGGTAGGGTCCTAATTATAAGCTCTACAATGAGGAGTGGGGCTATGAAAGCAATAAAAATTCAGTGTATTTAGATGTTTGATGATGATGAGACATGAAGGTCCTCAGCACCTCACAAAAGTGGGCCCCAAAAACCTGCCCCTTTAAGAATTAAAACAGTGAACAAACACAGGATCATGTTTTTCTGTTCCATGCGATGTTGTTATAGCCAGGTTGGTCCCAGGACAGGAGAAAGACAAGGTGGGTGAGGTAATATATTTTATTGCACCAGCTTCTGTTGGTGAAAGAGACAAGTTTTTGAGCTTACACAGAGCTTTTCTTCAAGTCTGGGAAATGTAGTCAGCGTGCAAGGATATATTGAGAAAGAGAGAGAAAGATGCTGTTCCTTCTGGGATATAGTAAATTTGGACTTTGAAACTCACTAAATAGTCTTTACCACATCTCTGCATCTCAGGCTAATTTTAGCTTCTGGAACAGTTATTCAGTGAGTGCTTTTCTTTGGCTTTTGGTCACCTCTCTTTTGCCTTTGTACTAACCATTTTGGCATCAGTTTACTATTTTATGATGCCCTCTGTGTGGTTGGTGATGGCAGTCATTCCTTGCTACCTTTTGTGAATTATGACTTCTCTCTGGAGCCTTGGATTCATTACAGGAGAAAGGCAGATTTAGTTTTCTTACCTGTAATTTTCATTTCTTGTAGTGTGGGTTGCCTGCTCTCGACAGACCCTCCTTATACTGTTCTAGCCATGATTGGTTTTAACACAATTCTTATTCATTTTTCTTCAAGTTAGGACAAGAGGGAATCTCCAATGGAGTCTGAAATGTCCAAATAGTGGCACCTACACAGTGGCTGTGTTTGTTTCCTCACTTCCACATTGTAATCATTGCTGTTGTTTTGTGTTTCATTAGCTTTGGAAGCATTTTTCTGCAGAGGGCACGGCTAGTGCAGCAAACATGCCAGCAGGGGGAGTGTTTGGGGGTTTTTTTGTTTTTTTTTTTAAAAGCAATCGAAATCTGTTAGCTGGTTTATCATGAATACACACAAATTCTCACTTTGTTCCAAAGCAAAGGAGCTATGATCAGCAATGATTACAGCTTGGAAAAAATAACTTTGCATTTTAGTTACTGGAATTGGCAAGACCATGACCTTCCATAGTAGATTTTACCCATATTCCATTGTATTTTGCTTATAACTTCATATCTTTTTGAGATTAAAAACCCAAAAAGGAGGAGGATTTGATTTAGCTTTTCAGTATAAAGTGAAAGGTAAAACCGATGCAACTGTGGATAAAAGGCTAGGGTCTAGAACAGTGGCACAGAGAGACTGCACAAAGTGTAACATAACCCTGGATAACACCCTTATCTAGTTAAATATATGAACATTACCATTCTTGAATCCATTTTCAAAATCCAAAATCAGATGTAACCTGCTGCCCATTTTGATAACTGAACAGAAAGTCTCTTAGTCTGTTACCGAATTTTTTCACAACCCATGTAACTCACTGTGGAGGTTTGTCCTTATGTTTCTGCAACAGGTCATTTGGGGTAGTTTTGTGGGAGCTGCTTACAGGAGAGATTCCATACAAGGATGTAGACTCCTCAGCTATCATCTGGGGAGTGGGCAGTAACAGCCTGCACCTTCCTGTCCCTTCCACCTGTCCAGATGGGTTCAAAATCCTCATGAAGCAAACATGGTAAGAGCCACATCCCCTGCACAGACTTGGGGCTTGATCCTGCAGTCCTGGCTCTGCCAAACTGCCAGTGGGGTCAGTGGAAATGGCGCCTGAGTAAGGACTGGAGGGTGGGGTCCAGAGCAAAGTTCTCTTTTTAAAAAACACTATTGCCTCTGAGAGAGAGACTATGTGCTGGTGGCATACTATGCTGGGTGTGACATTCCATGTCCCGCTGCCATGAAGCAAAATGACTTGTCACCAGCAAGGCATTGGAGTTCCTACAGACAGCATGCAGTTACTTATGCCATTGATGTTGATGTTGAAGTTGAAAGAGACCAGGGTGGTCAGAGAACGGAACTCAGTGATGGAGAAATTAGACACGGCAGGGCTTGGGGACGACCAGGGCAAGTGAGAGAGATGCTGGAGAGCTGCAGATCGAATGAGGAGGTAAGGACGATGAGGCAGGTGGCCAAAGGCTCATCCTGACCGTGGCTGAATACGGGAGAACCAGGAGTCACTCAGAGAGGACTATGGATCTGGAGCTAGGTGGGTGGTACGTAACAACTACTCGGAGGGTGGGAAGAGAGGAGAGCTGAGTAGAGTGCTGTTCAGAAGAGGAGGAGGAAGAGGGAAGAATTGGAAGCAACAGGAACAGGGATCCAGTTCCCAGCCTTGGCACGGTTCTAGGTGGTGAAAGAAGGGGAGGCTGTGATCTGCAGCAGAGGCAGTGTCAGCCAGAGGGATCCGGTCTCTGTTTCCGCTGGGAGCTGGAGAGATGCCACTGTCTCTGTGCTGTAGCTAATTCTCTATGTCAATTTGAGGATGCTGCTGCCTCTTGGCTCCCTGGTCCATATTATTCCCAGACTCAGGACACCTTCTCAAGCCCCTCCCTGCAAATTCTGCTGTCTGAGGATGAAAATATCCAAATTAGCAAGAATGTTTAAGAGCTCAGAAGCCCCATCAATCTTGTTTGACTCTGTCCCGTCTGTTTTAGCAGTCATGTCTGCCCTCCTTCTGGGCCTTTATATAGGGAATCATCATTGAGTAGATGTGTTTCCAATGGGATCGCACAAGGCTCAGTTCTTGGACCTACACTGTTTAACATTTTTATTAATGACCCAGAAGAAAAACAAAATAATCACTGATAAAGTTTCCAGACACAGAAATTGGGGGAGTGATAAATGATACGCAGATACAGAGTGATGTAGATCACTTGGTAAACTGGGCGCAAGCGAACAATGTGCGTGTTGATAGGGCTAAATATAAATGTATATATCTAGGAACAAAGCATGTAGGCCATGCTTGCAGGATGTGGGACTCTATCCTGGAAAGCTGTGACTCTGAAAAAGATTTGGGTCATGGGATAATCAGGTGAATAGGAGCTCCCAGTGCGATGCTGTGGCACAAAGGGCTAATGCGATCCTGGGATGCATAAACGGGAATCTCGAGTAGGAGCTGAGAGGTTATAATACCTCTGTATTTGTCACTGCTGCTGGAATCCTGCATCCAGTTCTTGTGCCCACAATTCAAGAAGGATGTTGGTAAATTGGAGAGGGTTCAGAGAAGATCCATGAGAATGATTAAAGGATTAGAAAACCTGTCTTATGGTGATAGACTCAAGGAGCTCAATCTATTTAGCTTAACAAAAACAGGTTAAGAGTGACTTTATCAGGGTGTATAAGGACCTAACTGGGAAACAAATATTTGATAATGGGCTCTTCAATCTAGCAGACAAAGGTATAAAATGATCCAATAGCTGGAAGTTGAAGCTAGCCAAATTCAGACTGGAAATAAGCTGTACATTTTTAACAGTGAGAATAATTAACCATTGGAACAATTTATCAAGGATTGTGGTGGATTCTCTATCACCAGCAATTTTAAAATCAAGATTGGATGTTTTTCTAAAAGAAATGCTTTAGGAATTATTTTGGGGAAGGTCTATGTCTGTGTTATACAGGAGGTCCGACTAGATGATCACAATGGTCCCTGGAATCTGTGAATCCATTAATACAATCCTGGAAAATTATTTTTTAATCTGTTGGCTCTATAGCTCTTGGACCAGTACAGTCTGAGTTCGTTAGTTAAGAATTGCATACCTCCTCATATGCACAGAAACCTCTCTATATGAGATGCAGACAAATCCACCTATTTTTCAACCTGCGTCTCATTCCTGCAAGTTTGACATCAAATTTTCCCAAGGAAATATGTTTCTATTGGGGGCCTAGATGCTTCTGTCAAAATGGCTGGTCATGAGCTAGTTATAGAGGAAATCCAGCTGTGTGCTGGTCTGGGGACTTTACCCTTGTGGTTGTGGGTAATGTTCTCCATACATTCCTCTTGCCAGGTTACAGAGCTCAAGGTCTTATTCTTAGGAAGGGCATTAATGCTGAGTCTTCATACTTCAGGCTCACTAATGGCAGGGAATCCCTAAGGGGTATGGAATATTAAAGAATACCTTGATTCTCCTACATTAGCCAAGATGGGCCACCATTCGTTCTGGCTAATATACTAGGAGAATGAGGAAGAAAAATGCTGTGATGCTGCCTATTCTTCACTGACCTGTAATTCTTAGGAGCGTGCTCTAAATATGTCAGTTACAGATTCAGAAACTCAAGGGACACCAGGCTGAAATCTAGTCAGTTTCACCAAATGAGTTAGAGAAGATTCAGTTTCTACCTGCCTTGAGGCCTCTGCTGACTTTTGTGATTTCACAGTTACAGTTTCCTGTTTTACAAATGTTCTCTCTGCCCTGGTGTTGTAGAAGGGAAAACTGACTACAGCGCAACAGTGAAAGGGCTTACACACAGCAAGCTGCCAAGTGCAACAAAGAAATACACTGGGTGGGAAAGAGAATTCTTGTGTTCTGCTCTTTTCCAGCTACAGCAATTATAGGTTGATTGTACCAGTAGTGGGTAAAACACTTTCAGTCTGATTTTAACTCGATAGCATGTCCCCTTAACTTGACTTTGTTGTTCTGTTCAGGCAGAGCAAGCCCCGGAACCGTCCCTCTTTCCGACAGACGCTGATGCACCTAGACATTGCATCTGCTGACGTTCTTGCCACCCCTCAGGAGACTTATTTCAAATCCCAGGTAAATACAGACTGGTCATAGCTGCTAGGAGGGCTACGGGGGTCTCACAGCTATTGCTGACTCATGCTGGAAGCCAGACCAAGTGGGACTCCAGCCCAGGATGTAATGGATTGGTTTGTGTCTGAGCGGGAAAGAGAGGACTAGGGCAAGGACAGGAGGGTCTTGCAAGGGAAAATGTAATAATAAGCCAACCTCAGAAAAATCTTAGGCTGAGGCTTATGCTTTACTATTTATGTTAACAATAAAGGCTTGTGCTAGGAAGGGATTATGCTTTGGACACAAACCGTGTGTGTATGCACCTGCTGTGTTCAGAAAACAGGGTGGGGACGTTTGTACCAGAAGTGGTGTTTCCAGACACCCTTTACCCAAAAGACAGAAGTGGAAGAAGAAATGGATAGCACAACAACAGCTGCAGCAGCTACAAGTTAGGCCTGCAGCCCAATAGGCCTTGATGCAATTTATAAACGGCCAGCAAGCCTGGTCTGCAGTCCGGCATTTATAGCAGTTTACAGCATTTGCAGACCAGACAGACCCAACAGTATCAGCAAGCTCAGGCTTCAGCCCAGCCACAACTGTCTTAGAGAAGCTTCTTTGGAGACACATGTAACTGTGTGCACCATCCAGGCCTCCAATAAATTCCAGCCCTCTTCTGTGCAAGCCCAGTCAAAGATAACCTAGAGGGTCAGCTGGTCACTTCCGAGCAGTAGCTATCCCAGCGTAGTGGGAGGAGCCCTGGGAACTGTTTGGCCCCTTTCTCTTTTTGAGAGAGGAGACACAAGCAACGTACTAAGCCCAGGACAGGGATGGCTGGGCAAAGAGGCAGGCACAGATGAAAAGGAAGTGAGGGCTGCTAGTCTAGACTTGTCTGGAGCCTGGAAACATGTCTCAGCAGGAGGTAGAGTTGAGCCCTGCATCCACACACATTTCCCCGTTCCTTCACATGCTGGGGGGTCTCACTGGCTCCAGGCTAAGCCCCAGGCAGCAGGAGACGAATGGACCTGCTGCCAATGGAGCAGTACTTGGAGTCTGGCTGCAGGGTGCAGAGGGCCGCCTGGAGGCTGAGCTGCCAGAGGAACCACCACAGCTATGGTGGAGCAGGGAAGGGCAGCGAGCTGAATAGATGAAAGAGCCGTCCCAGAACAGTGAAGGGACCTAGGACTGCAAGGGAGTAATCAAAAGGGACAAAGACAGCTGTGCAGGATCCCCAGGGTCCCAGCTCCCTGGCCCTATCAGCTGCTCCCAGGGTGAAAGATGGGGATGATCCCCTCTGTCCTGTATGGTGAGTGAGCACACAAGGTGTGATTCTACACATTAGGGCCACAAGGGCTAGGGACTTTAGAGGGTTAATACTGTGCCAGTAGACACACTACCGGGCCTCATAAACTTGGAAAGTGACCAAACACTCATCCAGGGTATGTCTACACTACGAAATTAGGTCGAATTTATAGAAGTCGGTTTTTCAGAAATCGGTTTTATATATTCGAGTGTGTGTGTCCCCACAGAAAATGCTCTAAGTGCATTAAGTGCATTAACTCGGCGGAGCGCTTCCACAGTACCGAGGCAAGCGTCGACTTCCGGAGCGTTGCACTGTGGGTAGCTATCCCACAGTTCCCGCAATCTCCGCTGCCCATTGGAATTCTGGGTTGAGATCCCAATGCCTGATGGGGCTAAAACATTGTCGCGGGTGGTTCTGGGTACATATCGTCAGCCCCCCGTTCCCTCCCTCCCCCCGTGAAAGCAAGGGCAGACAATCATTTCGCGCCTTTTTTCCTGAGTTACCTGTGTAGACGCCATACCACGGCAAGCATGGAGCCCGCTCAGGTAACCGTCACCCTATGTCTCCTGGGTGCTGGCAGACGCGGTACGGCATTGCTACACAGTAGCAGCAACCCCTTGCCTTGTGGCAGCAGACGGTACAGTACGACTGGTAGCCGTCATCGTCATGTCTGAGGTGCTCCTGGTCGCCTCTGTGAGGTCGATCAGGAGCGCCTGGGCAGACATGGGCGCAGGGACTAAATTTGGAGTGACTTGACCAGGTCATTCTCTTTAGTCCTGCAGTCAGTCCTATTGAACCGTCTTATGGTGAGCGGGCAGACGATACGGGCTGCTAGCAGTCGTACTGTACCATCTTCTGCCGAGCAGCCATGAGATGTGGATGGCATGCAGTCCTTCTGCACCGTCTGCTGCCAGCCAAAGATGTAAAAGATAGATGGAGTGTATCAAAACAAGAAATAGACCAGATTTGTTTTGTACTCATTTGCTTCCCCCCCTCCCCTGTCTAGGGGACTCATTCTTCTAGATCACACTGCAGTCACTTACAGAGAAGGTGCAGCAAGGTAAATCTAGCCATGTATCAATCAGAGGCCAGGCTAACCTTCTTGTTCCAATAAGGACAATAACTTAGGTGCACCATTTCTTATTGGAACCCTCCGTGAAGTCCTGCCTGAAATACTCCTTGATGTAAAGCCACCCCCTTTGTTGATTTTAGCTCCCTGAAGCCAACCCTGTAAGCGCCCCTCCCAGCGTCAGAGCAATGGCAAACAATCGGGCATCTGAGAGTGCTGTCCAGAGCAGTCACAATGGAGCACTCTGATGGGGCTAAAACATTGTCGCGGGTGGTTCTGGGTACGTGTCGTCAGGCCCCCGTTCCCTCCCTCCCTCCGTGAAAGCAAGGGCAGACAATCATTTCGCGCCTTTTTTCCTGAGTTACCTGTGCAGACGCCATACCACGGCAAGCATGGAGCCAGCTCAGGTAACTGTCACCCTATGTCTCCTGGGTGCTGGCAGACGCGGTACGGCTTTGCTGCACAGTAGCAGCAACCCATTGCCTTCTGGCAGCAGACGGTGCAATACGACTGGTAGTCGTCCTCGTCGTGTCCGAGGTGCTCCTGGCCACGTCGGCTGGGAGCGCCTGGGCAGACATGGGCGCAGGGACTAAATTTGGAGTGACTTGACCAGGTCATTCTCTTTAGTCCTGCAGTCAGTCCTATTGAACCGTCTTATGGTGAGCGGGCAGGCAATACGGACTGCTAGCAGTCGTACTGTACCATCTTCTGCCAGGCAGGCAAGAGATGAGGATTGCTAGCAGTCGTATTGTACCATCTTATGCCAGGCAGGCAAGAGATGAAGATGGCTAGCAGTCGTACTGTACCATCTTCTGCCAAGCAGCCATGAGATATGGATGGCATGCAGTCCTTCTGCACCGTCTGCTGCCAGCCAAAGATGTAAAAGATAGATGGAGTGGGTCAGAACAAGAAATAGACCAGATTTGTTTTGTACTCATTTGCCTCCTCCCCTATCTAGATCACACTGCAGTCACTCACAGAGAAGGTGCAGCGAGGTAAATCTAGCCATGTATCAATCAGAGGCCAGGCTAACCTCCTTGTTCCAATAACAACGATAACTTAGGTGCACCATTTCTTATTGGAACCCTCCGTGCAGTCCTGCCTGAAATACTCCTTGATGTACAGGCACACCCTTTGTTGATCTTAGCTCCCTGAAGCCAACCCTGTAAGCCATGTCGTCAGTCGCCCCTCCCTCCGTCAGAGCAACGGCAGACAATCGTTCCGCGCCTTTTTTCTGTGCGGACGCCATACCAAGGCAAGCATGGAGGCCGCTCAGCTCACTTTGGCAATTAGGAGCACATTAACCACCACACGCATTATCCAGCAGTATATGCAGCACCAGAACATGGCAACGCGATACCGGGCGAGGAGGCGACGTCAGCGCGGTCCCGTGAGTGATCAGGACATGGACACAGATTTCTCTGAAAGCATGGGCCCTGACAATGCATGCATCATGGTGCTAATGGGGCAGGTTCATGCTGTGGAACGCCGATTCTGGGCTCGGGAAACAAGCACAGACTGGTGGGACCGCATAGTGTTGCAGGTCTGGGACGATTCCCAGTGGCTGCGAAACTTTCGCATGCGTAGGGGCACTTTCATGGAACTTTGTGACTTGCTTTCCCCTGCCCTGAAGCGCATGAATACCAAGATGAGAGCAGCCCTCACAGTTGAGAAGCAAGTGGCGATAGCCCTGTGGAAGCTTGCAACGCCAGACAGCTACCGGTCAGTTGGGAATCAATTTGGAGTGGGCAAATCTACTGTGGGGGCTGCTGTGATGCAAGTAGCCCACGCAATCAAAGATCTGCTGATATCAAGGGTAGTGACCCTGGGAAATGTGCAGGTCATAGTGGATGGCTTTGCTGCAATGGGATTCCCTAACTGTGGTGGGGCTATAGACGGAACCCATATCCCTATCTTGGCACCGGAGCACCAAGCCGCCGAGTACATAAACCGCAAGGGGTACTTTTCGATAGTGCTGCAAGCTCTGGTGGATCACAAGGGACGTTTCACCAACATCAACGTGGGATGGCCGGGAAAGGTGCATGATGCTCGCATCTTCAGGAACTCTGGTCTGTTTCAAAAGCTGCAGGAAGGGACTTTATTCCCAGACCAGAAAATAACTGTTGGGGATGTTGAAATGCCTATATGTATCCTTGGGGACCCAGCCTACCCCTTAATGCCATGGCTCATGAAGCCGTACACAGGCAGCCTGGACAGTAGTCAGGAGCTGTTCAACTACAGGCTGAGCAAGTGCAGAATGGTGGTAGAATGTGCATTTGGACGTTTAAAGGCGCGCTGGCGCAGTTTACTGACTCGCTTAGACCTCAGCGAAACCAATATTCCCACTGTTATTACTGCTTGCTGTGTGCTCCACAATATCTGTGAGAGTAAGGGGGAGACGTTTATGGCGGGGTGGGAGGTTGAGGCAAATCGCCTAGCTGCTGGTTACACGCAGCCAGACACCAGGGCGGTTAGAAGAGCACAGGAGGGCGCGGTACGCATCAGAGAAGCTTTGAAAACCAGTTTCATGACTGGCCAGGCTACGGTGTGAAAGTTCTGTTTGTTTCTCCTTGATGAAACCCCCCGCCCCTTGGTTCACTCTACTTCCCTGTAAGCTAACCACCCTCCCCTCCTCCCTTTAATCATTGCTTGCAGAGGCAATAAAGTCATTGCTGCTTCACATTCATGCATTCTTTATTCATTCATCACACAAATAGGGGGATGACTACCAAGGTATCCCAGGAGGGGTGGTGGAGGAGGGAAGGAAAATGCCACACAGCACTTTAAAAGTTTTCAACTTTAAAATTTATTGAATGACAGCCTTCTTTTTTTTGGGCAATCCTCTGTGGTGGAGTGGCTGGTTGGCCGGAGGCCCCCCCACCGCGTTCTTGGGCGTCTGGGTGTGGAGACTATGGAACTTGGGGAGGAGGGCGGTTGGTTACAGAGGGGCAGCAGTGGCAGTCTGTGCTCCAGCTGCCTTTGCTGCAGCTCAACCATACACTGGAGCATACTGGTTTGGTCCTGCAGCAGCCTCCGCATTGAATCCTGCCTCCTCTCATCACGCTGCCGCCACATTTGAGCTTCAGCCCTGTCTTCAGCCCGCCACTTACTCTCTTCAGCCCTCCACCTCTCCTCCCGGTCATTTTGTGCTTTCCTGCACTCTGACATTATTTGCCTCCACGCATTCGTCTGTGCTCTGTCAATGTGGGAGGACAGCATGAGCTCAGAGAACATTTCTTCGCGAGTGCGTTTTTTTTTCTTTCTAAGCTTCACTAGCCTCTGGGAAGGAGAAGATCCTGTGATCATTGAAACACATGCAGCTGGTGGAGAAAAAAAAAGGGACAGCGGTATTTAAAAAGACACATTTTATAAAACAGTTGCTACACTCTTTCAGGGTAAACCTTGCTGTTAACATTACATACATAGCACATGTGCTTTCGTTACAAGGTCGCATTTTGCCTCCTCCCACCGCGTGACTACCTCCTCAACCTTCTCCCCTCCCTGTGGCTAACAGCGGGGAACATTTCTGTTTAGCCACAGGCAAACAGCCCAGCAGGAATGGGCTCCTCTGAGTGTCCCCTGAAGAAAAGCACTCTATTTCAACCAGGTGACCATGAATTATATCTCACTCTCCTGAGGATAACACAGAGAGATAAAGAATGGATTTTGGTTGAATGCCAGCAAATATACACTGCAATGCTTTGTTCTACAGTGATTCCCGAGTACATGTTACTGGCCTGGAGTGGTAAAGTGTCCTACCATGAAGGACGAAATAAGGCTGCCCTCCCCAGAAACCTTTTGCAAAGGCTTTAGGACTACATCTAGGAGAACCGCAAATGCCAGGGCAAAGTAATCCTTTCACATGCTTGCTTTTAAACCATGTATAGCATTTTAAAAGGTACACTCACCAGAGGTCCCTTCTCCGCCTGCTGGGTCCAGGAGGCAGCCTTGGGTGGGTTCGGGGGGTACTGGCTCCAGGTCTAGGGTGAGAAACAGTTCCTGGCTGTCGGGAAAACCGGTTTCTCCACTTGCTTGCTGTGAGCTATCTACAACCTCCTCATCATCATCATCTTCTTCGTCCCCAAAACCTACTTCCGTATTGCCTCCATCTCCATTGAAGGAGTCAAACAACACGGCTGGGGTAGTGGTGGCTGAACCCCCTAAAATGGCATGCAGCTCATCATAGAAGCGGCATGTTTGGGGCTCTGACCCAGAGCGGCTGTTCGCCTCTCTGGTTTTCTGGTAGGCTTGCCTCAGCTCCTTCAGTTTCACGCGGCACTGCTTCGGGTCCCTGTTATGGCCTCTGTCCTTCATGCCCTGGGAGATTTTCAGAAAGGTTTTGGCATTTCGAAAACTGGAACGGAGTTCTGATAGCACGGATTCCTCTCCCCAAACAGCGATCAGATCCCGTACCTCCCGTTCGGTCCATGCTGGAGCTCTTTTGCGATTCTGGGACTCCATCATGGTCACCTGTGCTGATGAGCTCTGCATGGTCACCTGCAGCTTGCCACGCTGGCCAAACAGGAAATGAGATTCAAAAGTTCGCAGTTCTTTTCCTGTCTACCTGGCCAGTGCATCTGAGTTGAGAGCGCTGTCCAGAGCGGTCAGAATGGAGCACTCTGGGATAGCTCCCGGAGGCCAATACCATCGAATTGTGTCCACAGTACCCCAAATTCGAGCCGGCAACGTCGATTTAAGCGCTAATCCACTTGTCAGGGGTGGAGTAAGGAAATCGATTTTAAGAGCCCTTTAAGTCGAAATAAAGGGCTTCATTGTGTGGACGGGTGCAGGTTTACATCGATTTAACGCTGCTAAATTTGACCTAAAGTCCTAGTGTAGACCAGGGCCCAGATAGAACTACAATGGGCAGCAAAGTTTATGTCCATGGGGTTCCTGGGACTCTTAGCAGCAACTTGAGACTTGGCTCTGGGTGGGCTGCACAGCACGAAGTGAATGCAGGCATGCCCTGGCTTTGATTTGTGGGGAACTGGTGTGACAGGATGGGAGGGCTTAGTGAGAAACAGGACTATTCTGCTGATCTTATGCAGCTTCTGCTGGAAGCAGACCAGGTAGGGTTCATTACACAACCCGCTTGACTGTATGTGAGGGAGCAGGGGCAGAATACAGGAGTGCTGTGGGAACCACTTTCAGTCACTGATATCATAGTTCCCGAGAGAACTGCATGACTTCTTCATGACCTCCTTGAGGGCAGGCACCATGCTTAGGTCTCTAGCTATCGTCTTTCTTGGGGCGAGGTTCTGTGACTTTCTCCCAGTAGAGCAGGGAGTTAGGCTGCAATTCACTATGATCATTTTAGTAACCCTGGTTTAAGTTCAGCACCTGCCATCCTGTTCTTTTGGGAGCAATAACAGGGTTAACCAGTGACCAGCCAGCCTTCGTAGGCTTCACAAGTATTATTTATTCAGAACAAAGACATTACAGAGAAAACATATTTTAAGATTACTAAACAGCTCATATGTAAGTCTTAGCTTACCAGGCAGTCACCCGGTGTTGATGGCCCTAGTGCCTGCAATAGCCACTTAGAGCTGGGATCTCACAGTACGCACTCACTGAGCGACAGTGAATGTTGCGGTTTTAATCGCACAGTTCAGATCTAACTCAGGGGCCATGTGAAATGACTTTGAGAAGCCTAATGCCAGGTGGACATTTACTTCCATATGATGTGCTTTGTAGTCTTCTGTGGGGGAGCTGGAATCTGAAGGGCACTTCCATACTTGCAGGGTAGGTGACGTTTAAGAGCCTCGATAGATTGAACAGAGATAACAGGGAATTTTGCAGGTCAGGACTGAGTGCGTTACAGAGCTGTGTGTGGAAACTTGCATGATGCCTGCTTGCACTATACCTGAGTCTAGGCGGTACTACTAGTCATTGGTGAGGGCAGCCCAAATGCTGGAATAGCAACAGGGAGCTGCAGGCCAGGACTGGGATGGATGGGCTGTAGGGTGGCTCCGTACTGCAGGGGTGTGACAGATCAGGACAGAGGTTCTTTGGTGGACAGGTGATGACACGCATAAATGATAGCCTGAATATGGGAATGACCCAGTAATAGAAGAATGAACTCCTCTGCTGCAGAGTTGCCTTTGCCATGAATCATGAGGCCTGTGTAACCATGAATATAAAATGCCATCCCATAGGCTGAATGGAGAGAAGAAGTAAAGAAGCACTTTGAGAAAATTAAGAGTGAAGGAACTTGCATACACCGGCTAGATGAAGAGCTGATTCGTCGCCGAAGAGAAGAGCTCAGGTCTGTTGAGGATCTCACCCCGCTCCTCTGCTACTCCACCCCCTTGGGGCTATTGACCACAGTGAGATGTAATGACCCCCCTGCCTCTCTGAGTTAATCAGATCCCTTTGTTTCTGAACATTAACCTCTAACTTGTCTCCTGATTTGCAAATGCACACTCCCTTCTGAAGGCTTCTGCAGAAATGCACTTCAAGAGCAACCCCACGAGGAAAACAGATGTGTTTTTAACCACATTAGCTAAAGTGGTAGTTTTCACATGTGTTGGCCTGTCAAGGTAAACCCTAGTGATGACTAGGCCATAGAACGTTGCTGGTTTACCCCTCCCCCATTCTCAAATAAGAAGTGTTTGTTCTGCCCTTCTTGGGTCAGGATCCCCGGGTTGTCCAGTTGAGCCTTGGTTTTCCTTTCTTGTTAACAGGCATGCATTAGACATCCGTGAACATTATGAGAGGAAGCTAGAGCGAGCCAATAACTTGTACATGGAGCTTAGCGCCATCATGCTGCAGCTGGAGGTCCGCGAGAAGGAGCTCATTAAGTATGTATATCTGGGAAGAGGGGAGCATACATACACACATGCTCATATACAGGAGGTGGTTCTGAACTGGGAATAAATAGGTGTCCTTTCTAAACTACACCACATGCCTTCAGATTGAGCCTCTAGCAGCAAGCTTCCAGACCTGGATAAAGGACCAGGCGGCTGAGTCTCTGCTCGATCTCTCTAAGTCATTGTCCAGATTGAAGGGTATTCTTTTTAAGGATGGTGAATGACAGACTCCTTATTGTAAACATCCTCCTCTTTATCCTGCAGCTGATGACTGAGAGAGAAGAGAGCTTTCATACTTTGCTACCAGCTGTGTTAAATGGCCCCTGCCATCAGCCTCTCTGTAAAGAGAGGAGACAGCGTTCCCTAAACTATGTACCAAGGCCACAGATAAGACACCTGCTCCCTGCAAAGAGAGTAGAAAATAACTAGGCTCTTTCTAAGTGCAAAACATACCACATACCTTGTCAGTCCATGAAACAAGCACACAGTGTGCATCACCACTTAGGTCACAGCTGCTTTTCCATCCAGCCAGAGGTTGATTACAATTTTGTGGAGTCCTGGGCCAGAGCAATTCCCCCCCCTCCTTCACCCAAGCGCTCCTTCTGAGAAGCAGGATCAGGGTGCAGGAGCTTGCCCCGCTTCGTCAGCCTGCCCTGCTTTCCTGCTGAGGAGTGGGGTCGGGGCGTAGGGGGTTGCCCTGCTTCCTCCACCTGGCGCTCCTGCTGGAGAGTAGGATTGGGGTGCAGAGGCTTGTCCTGCTCCGCCTGTCCAGCGCTCCTGCTGGGGAGTGGGGTTGGGGTGCTGGGGCTTGTCCTGCTCTGCCACCAGAGGGGCGAGCAGAGCAGGGCAAACCCCCACGTCTCAGTCCAATTGGCCGGGGCCCCTGGGCACGGGCTCCATTGGGCCAGTGGCTAATCCGCCACTGCATCCAACAGTAACTTCCATTTTACAGAGAGGAGGCTAGGGATTTATTCTTTGTTCCGTATTCCAGACGGGAACAAGCGGTGGAAAAGAAATATCCTGGGACTTACAAGCGTCATCCAGTCAGACCGATAATCCACCCCATTGCGGTAGAGAAGCTGATGAAAAGGAAAGGGGTCACTCATAAGCCAGGGAGCCAGACCAAACGGTAAGAAACCTCTGCACAAAACAAAATCCTAGCCAGGGAAGCAAGTCCTACACAAGAGTGACAAGTGTGGTTTGTCTTGCAAATGTGACTGGATGAAAATGGCTGCTTCTTGCACAACAGATCTGCTTCCTCTGCATGTTCTGTAATGTGCCTGCTTTCTTCAGTGCCAAGCAGGGTTCTGTCCTTTGAGTCCTGCTAGCAAAGCAGAACCAGCGCAGCTAGGATTAAGTAAACTGGACTCTAGTCTGACTGCAACACCATCAACACAGTTGTTAATTAAGTTCATGTTGTAGGGACAAATTCTGCCCTCAGTTACACGTGGGCAACCCTGGTGAAACATTGGGTCCACAGAATATTTTTATTGGTGGTGATACAGGAGCCAGAAAGAACCCAGCTTGACACTCAGAACCCCATGGAATTTGCAGGGCTGGCAGGGAGAAACTAATGTCTCCTAGTCTGAGCAAATTTAGTGCCCGCTCATCAGTGGCCCTGATGCTAATGCAGTAGGGAACGTGGAGAGTGGCCAGAAACAGGATCCAAGTCATCTGGAAGGATGGCCTTGTTGCTGAGGCACCTAGCTCAGCCCCACAGTCCCTGTGTAACCTCAGGCAAGTTTCATGCAGACAGATTTTCAGCCATTTTCCCTAGGTTGTTGGGATTCTACTCACTGATTAACAATCAATGAATAATGATTATTCCTGTGTAGCTGAAATGAACTGGCCACTGTTATTGTTTGTCTTGTGCCACCTGGAGACCTCTTTGTATTGGGCCCTGCTCAGATACGTAAAAGATACAGTCCCTGCCCCGAGGCTTACAAGCTAAATAGAAAAGACAAAGTGTGTGGGAAGGGGATAAAACATACAAGCAGATGTGTTAGTGTCAGAATTTTTGGTGGGAAGTTAGTGGGTTTTTTAATTTAGGAGGGGATTAACTAAATGGAAAGACAGGCTGTAGAGGGGACAAAGAGGGATGGGGAGGAGAGAAAGGTAGGAGGGGAATGTCACCGTTTCTGGGTAACTGCTCCTGTGCTCCCTTAAGGGCACCTGCTTAAGGTTTCCAGCTCCTAGCTGTCACCTCTCTTGGGTGTAGACCTGAGTGTCTCTTCCTCCTGACTGAGCATTTTACGGCAGCACAGCTCCTGGCCTTACACAGTGATATTGCCAGCAAGCCAGTCTGCCTGAAGTCCAGTGCCTGTGCATTGCTTTCTCTCCAAGAGCCAGTGTATTGCCAGCAATTACAAATTACCGCACAACTCTTCCTAAGCAAGCACATTTATTCTTAAGGGAAAGGTATTACAGAGAAAACATTTAAACAATAAACGTTCCAGTAGCTAAACATACCAGGAATCCCCCAACAATCATAGTAGGACAAAACATTTCCAATCCTTCCACAAGGATTGGGGACCTTGGACATAAGGTCCTGCTGGATCAGAAAGAGGGTCTTGAGTCAGTTTAAACACAATTTTTTTTATGCCCAAAGCCCTTTTTTGGTCTGTAGAACTCTGGAAAACGCAGCTTGAACCAGTATATGGAAGCCTCCCAATGGGTGGTACCTCTCTGCAGATGTTTACAGTCGTGAGTGATTCCTCTTAATCACCCCACGCTGTTTCAAGTTCCTGGAGGTGCTGTGGTAACGCTCCTGCATCAATAGAACACAATCATACGAACCATCGCTGGCCCACAGTGATACGTAAACTTAACACAGTATGTTCTGCCAAAGATACAGCCCATGGTTGCAATATCGGTCACAGGGACCAGGGAGGGTCATAGGAGAGAAGCAGATGTGAAGGACCATGAGTGGGGATAGAGGGAAGGGAGTTGGACCCAACAGCCAATCAACAGAAGGGAAAGAATGTCCATAGACCGTAGTAAGCAGAGTCTGGTGCAGCTGCTTGTGCTTACTCCTGCTGACTGAGTCACTGGTCCCAGACTGATGCCATGGGTTAGTTCTGCCTTCAAAGTTAAATCCAGTTTTCACCTGTCTCCCAGGCCAGACCTGCTGAAGTCAGAGGGCATATCCAGTACAGAGGTGGCACCCAATGGCTCACCAGTCTCAGGAAGTCCCAAAATGTCAACACTCAGTAACAAAGGCCGATACCGCTGCAAACCACGTCACCGACGAGGGAACAGCAAAGGCAGCTATAATGAATTTGCAGGGATCTTGAAAAACCAACCAGCACAGGACAACTCACCCCAACCACCTCATCATCATCCTCATTCTCATCATTCCAGCCTACAGCAGCACCAGCAGCATAGCCACCCCCATTACCATGGCCATCACCCCAGGCTAAACATCATGGGGCAAGACATCGCGAACTGTGCGAACAACCTGAGGTACTTTGGCCCTGCAGCAGCCCTGCGGAGCCCCCTCAGTAACCATGCCCAAAGGCGCGTGTCCGGCTCCAGCCCCGATCTCATCTCTACTGCTATGGAAGCAGATTGTCGGAGGAATTTGGAGAATGAGGAACATAAGGTTGATCATTGGCAGTGTTGTAAAGCAGACCCACACAACCCCTGCTCTCAGTGCAGGCAGGCAAACAGTGGTCAGAAACAGATGCCATCCATTGAACCAGGGATGAACCACCCTGAATCGACAACGTGTGGTCCCTTGTCTGAAAAGGCCCAGCTTCCTGAAAAGATGGAGGAGGAAGACTTCAACAGCTGCAAGTCAGTGTCATTGCTAGGCACCCCTCAACACCAGGCTACCCCAGTGCTACCTTGCAAACCCAGACCTATTCAAAAGGTAAAGACAGGAAAGTAGTCTTTAAAATAACAATTGTCTAATGTTTAAAATTGTCTGGAAAAAAATTGTACAATGTGGTATAGTATTGTTTGAGAGCTAGTATCTATGTAAAAAAACTTTGTATAGCAATCCATACACAAAGGGGCAGAGTTAAGGTTGTGCGTGCAACTTTAATTTTAATTTGTGTGCTTTGTTTTGCAACCTTGACATCCTTTTAAAAGTAGTTTTTATTGGGAAGGTTATAGGTGGAGGTAGTAGTACTACATGTGGTTAAGGTGGCCTAACACTTCCCATTATAAGACTCTTTTAAGTTACCTGTAACTTTGCCAAACATTAACTGTCTGGACGGAAACTTACCAGGCCAAGTGTCTGTCTCTGACTAAAGGTTTTTTGTTTGTTTTTTTAAACTAGAAAAAATGGTCCAGCCATTTCTCAGAACAGAGTCAGGGAAAATTATATTGTTTTGCCCATGTTAGAAAAAATTCTTACAACCATTTCTTTGAGAAGCTTTAGTTCCTCTATGCTTTGGAGCAAGAGCTCCAAATTTGCCACAGGTTTCAGAGTAGCAGCCGTGTTAGTCTGTATTCGCAAAAAGAAAAGGAGTACTTGTGGCACCTTAGAGACTAACCAATTTATTTGAGCATAAGCTTTCGTGAGCTACAGCTCACTTCATCGGATGCATGATGCATCCGATGAAGTGAGCTGTAGCTCACGAACACTTATGCTCAAATAAACTGGTTAGTCTCTAAATTTGCCACAGGTGTTGCCCTAGTGTTAGCAAAATGCCTTTTGGAATTCCTGTGAGATATAAGATTCCAAAAGTTGCAATTTGTTCATGCTCAGCAGAGGCTTTGGCAGCTAAATACCCCAAAGATTCTGTCTGCACTGAGCATGCTCCAGCCAGGAACTGAAGGACTTTCCCTGCAATTGCTCTTCTTTGCAGCCTGGGAGTGCTTTGGTGCCAGGAACAGGACCTGAGAGAAGGGATATAGTCTTTTGTGCTCTCAATACTTCCCCTGTTGGCACTCAACAAGGAGATGTGGGAACCAGCCTGGCTGGAATGCAGAGAACAGAGGAGCTGGCCAGAGGAGAGACTGGGACTGGGGACTGGAACAAAGGGGATTGAAATGGGACTGGGTTGTGAAGGTGAAGTGAGATGGGATGGAGACTGGAACTGGGACAAACACTGGTTGGTGGGGCCAGGCACAGAATATGTCAGACTTTGGGGGAATAGGACCTGAAGGGTCACAACACTGAAGTGCATTCCTTTCATAACCTGGAATAGAATGGAGGATTCCCGAGTCACAACATTTCCTGTACTGGCAACAAATAGCTATGAAACCCACTGACAAAATGTGTGCCTCATTTCCCTCTTGTGGCTGGGCCACACAGAGGATGACAATCTACTACTGCTGTCAGTTACTCTGTTAGCTAAAGTGGAAGAGGTTAGTGCAGTGGATCTAAAGCTGCCAACCTTACTGATGGCCCATGTGGTTGGCGGTATGGTTCCACACGATGGATTTTTTTTTCCAGTTTGCTTTTTAAAAAAGCCCTAGAAAATTACACACACAAAACTACATTAAAATAACATTATTAAGGTTGCAAAGTCAAGCATTCCACAGTTTGGAAATGCCAGAATTCAGATTGCCTGTGCAACCTTAAATCAACCCTCCTGTGTGTATGCGTTATGAGGCAGTCTTTAATTACATGATCACATGCTATTTTTTTCCACAGGACCCCTGCCTCCATCAGTACACAGGATGGAGCTGCTCTGGGGATGAATCATTGTTGCTTTTTTCTATAGGGCCCTGTCTCATTTGTTGTGGAACTTGGAAGGTGTTTAGTGAACAAGGCAGGGGATTGCAGGAAGAGAAAGGATGGTGTCAGGGTTAAGGCAGTTACATAATTAAAGAATGGTTTCAGAGGAACAGCCGTGTTAGTCTGTATTCGCAAAAAGAAAAGGAGTACTTGTGGCACCTTAGAGACTAACCAATTTATTTGAGCATGAGCTTTCGTGAGCTACAGCTCACTTGTGGCACCTTAGAGACTAACCAATTTATTTGAGCATGAGCTTTCGTGAGCTACAGCTCACTTCATCAGATGAAGTGAGCTGTAGCTCACGAAAGCTCATGCTCAAATAAATTGATTAGTCTCTAAGGTGCCACAAGTACTCCTTTTCTTTTTTTATAATTAAAGAATGTATCATAATGCATATACACAAGGGAGACAAATAAACGTTATGCAGGCAGCCTGGCATTTCCTAATTTTTCAGTGCTTGACTTTGCAACCTTAATAATGTTCTTTTAATGTCGTTTTTTGTGTATAAGATAATAAACAAAATAATCAATTTTTCAAGAGATAGAAAAGAAGATATAAGAAGGGAGGGTGAACATGGAAAAAGACAAGCTACATTGGAGGAGAAATACAAAGGGTCTGCCAGGAGGACATTAGATTTTGAGAAAAATACCAGAGAAAGCAGTTAAATCTCATTTGTAGTCAAATCTTAATACAAAAGCCATGCATGATCATTTCTTGGCTGGATTATTGAGCTCAGCATACTGTCAAAGCTAGCTTGCTCCCAGCTTCCAGTGATGCTGTCATGACTACAGGGCTAGCTGCATCTCTGTGCCATCTCTGGTTTCTCTTAGTGCAGCCCAGGTCTCAGGCCTTGTGACTTTATTAGGTGCCACTCTTACACAAGGCCCTGGGTTGCCATGCCCTCTGGATCAACACCACTTACCCCAACAGATCTGACTGGTTTTGACGCCTGTGATTCTTCCCTTTAGGAGTCTGTGATTGGTGGTGTATATAGTGACCAGCCAGCCTTCTTATATCAGGGTGGTGTTTGTTTCAACAGTAGGGACAAAGCATTTAGGATATGTCTACATAGCAATAAACCCTGTGGCCATGATTCTCAAAGCCTGGGTCTGCAAGCTCAGGCTTGCGGGTCTCGTGCTATGGCACTGAAAATAGCCATGTAGACATTCGGGCTTGGGCTCTGAAGCCTGGGGAGAGGGGTGATGGTAACGTAGGCAGGCCCAGCTTCTTCCAACACCTCCAACGGGTACCTGCCTCTTTGGCCATGTCTACAATAGTGAGCTTACAGTAGCACAGCTGAGGTCGATGGGAGAGAGGTCTCCCGTCGACAAAATAAAACCACCTCAAGTGGCAGTGACTGTCAGTGGGAGAAGCTCTCCCACCAACATAGCGCTGAGCACACCGGCGCTTCTGTGGGTGCAACTTATGTCGCTCAGGGGGTGTTTTCTTCACACCCGTGTGACATAAGTTTTGCCGACATAAGCGGTAATGTAGTCATGGCCTTAGTTTGGTTCCCCTGAACAACTCCTTGTGAGAGAGTGTTCTTTTTTAAGCTGCTATAGTCCTTTTGATCTTCCAGTTCTCAGGCTTTTTCCTCTCCTGGTAGTGTCTCTTAACCCTCAAATGTTTGCAGAGGAGTGGCTATTCTTTTCCTTCCTGCTTGTTTTCCCAATAGCCCCGTATTAAACTAAAACTGTACAGTAAACCTCCCCATAACCAGGTCAACATCCAGCATTCATGATGACTAATGAACAGTTCCAATTCTGTCACAGTTGCCTTTTTGCTTCCTTCAGACTCTGGTGTACTCTCGCTTTTAATTTTCTCAGATATCTCCCCTGCTTTTATGTATTATTGACTAGAGACAGCTAGCTTGTTTGGAGACTTATGAGGACTATGTGACTGTATCCTTATTATTCTAATTCTACTTGTTTTAGTTCTTCTGGTTATACTCTACTGCTTCTAATATCATGATAAACCTTTGGGATGTCCCCAGAATCCAGTGCTGTTTCATATTCTACCTCATTTCTATCAGTTTTCTTTCAGTATTTTTGTCATGTTATATTATCACTCCAAAGTACTGTACATCTCTCCGTAATGATATAATTTTGGAAACAGAGAATTGGAATAATTTTCTTTCAGGTGTGACCTTGTGGCTGTCAAAGAATATTTCAAAACTAAGTACTAATAATTCCACAATAAAGCACATTATTTAGTCCCTGCTGAATTCTGTATCTTTGGTCATCTTGTCACTTAAAGGACTGTATGGCTTGCCTATGCAGGGAAATTGGCAAAACTCTAGTGGCAGAATTCACTGCTGTAGTTAGGTTGGTATAATTCCCCATGTGGACACTATTCTGGAAAAAAAAGTGACTTTATTCCGGAAAAGTTACCCCACTGCAAAACACAAAACAGAGTAATTATGCAAGGACCAAGTCACTTGTCTTCTGGAATAGAGTATCTATATGGGAGTAATACCAACATAGCTATAGCAGTACAATTATACTGCCAGTCAGTGTCCCTGTGAAGACAAGATCTAAACTCTATGTTAAATGTCCCCATTTCAGGAATATTGCTGGGATATTCCAGTATCACAGAAGTTGCCCTGGGTATTTTAACTCAGACCTTCGTAATTTTCAGGCATGATGACTCTAAGACCCGATTGGTTGTATTTCCTGTTAAATTGATCAGCAGTCAAATGTCTGTGTCCATCCAGTGTGAAACATTTGCCACATCTCAGAGTTTCCTGCACCATTCCACTTTTCATAGCTTTTAGCTTGCAGAAGTTTTTGACTCCTTATTTGTTTGGAGTGCTGTAGTCACTCCCTTCCTTCATGGGCCATGGAGAGTACAGATTCTCTGAACTGCCCTCAGCATGCTCAGAACACTTGCAGGTCTGCATTATGGCAATGAATATAATTTAATCTCAGGCCTCATGGCTTCAGCTGTCCTCCCTAAGCACTAAAGGTGAACTTTTTCCCTTGATGCGTAATTAGCTGGATGTATTTTGAAGTTTAGGGTTTTTTTGCCTTCCTTTGAAGCAGTAGGGATTGGCCCTGGCTGGAGACGGGACACCAGATGGGGTGGACAAAATGATCTGATGTGGTACAGAGAATCCTGTATTTTAGATGCCTGGCTGATGTGGCTCTGTTCATGTGCTCTGGATCTAAGTGATCACCAGATTAGAGGTCAGGATGGAATTTTTCCCCAGGTTAGATTGGCTGGGACCTTTGGAGGTTTTCACCTTCCTCTGCAGCATGGGGGATTGGTTCATCTGCTGGGATCATCTTAGCATATGTCATCTATCTGTTCCCTGCCATTGCTGGGGCCTCAGGCATTGGTGGCACCTCGGTCCCCCTGTTCTCTGCCTGTGGCACACAGCAGCTTAGTCTCTTGAGGACTGAAATGTTTTAGAGTAACAGCCGTGTTAGTCTGTATTCGCAAAAAGAAAAGGAGTACTTGTGGCACCTTAGAGACTAACCAGTTTATTTGAGCATAAGCTTTCGTGAAAAGCTTATGCTCAAATAAATTGGTTAGTCTCTAAGGTGCCACAAGTACTCCTTTTCTTTTTTTGAAATGTTTTCGTTTACCCAGGATACTGGGCTCCATATGGTGGTAACTGGGTGTGAATTAATGGTCTGCGATATTCAGGAGATCAAAGTAGATGATCTAAGGGTCCTTCTGGCTTTAAACACTATGAAACCTTTTGGTGCAGTGGCTTTGTACCAGAGAATCAAGTGGCAGCTAGATAGCTGTATGATTGTTTTAAATCAGTCCAATAACATTGTTCTCTTTCCCCCTGCCAGAGTGGTGATGACTCTTCAGAACAGGAAGAAGGAGAAGTGGACAGTGAAGTGGAGTTCCCACGGAGACAGAGGTAAATAGCTAAACCCCTCCAATCCTTCCTTGAGTGGTAGGCAGAAATCTATTTTTTTTTTAACCTGGTTCACGTAACATCATGGCATTGTGCTGGGAATTCTGAGCCTTCTGCCTTGGCATGATAGGTCCCTGCGGAATCATTGCCCAAGTTCCAGCATGAAATGTATCCAACCCTGTAGTGATACTGTCAAGGGCCTGGCCAGTCCTGTGGTGACCATCAGCACTGTAAACTATGGCAAGAGCTCCGGTCCAACTAGCTACAAGATCAATCACATGAGTGTCCCCTCTATGATGTCTCATGCTGTGCTGAGCTGTTTTCAGCCCCCTGCAAGTTGCAGGCATCTCCAGCATAGCTCCTCTCCATTATGGGCTTGTTTACGCCGGAACCTCACTATGTGTGACCAGTGCAAGAGGCTACTGCTACCCAGTCTGGTATCTCCAATATCTGTACCATTAAGCTTGAAACTGCCAGGGTCTGGCACCCTTGATAGCATCTTTCAAAAGTTCTTTATCAGATTTGTTGCTGCAGAGGGCAAGGGAATGACTCCAGCATCTGGGCTAGAATAGTGCAGCCTTGATTACACGGACGTCACTTGATCAAAAGCCTCGTTTTCTGAAACAGGGTCACGTCCTCCCCATAAGGCAGGGATCATGACCCCCTTTGAAAAAGTGGGGCTTGGGTAATTGAAGGCAGGGATCCTGGAGAGAAGCCCAGGGACTGAGGAGAGAAGTCGAGTGAAACATTTGAAAGAGCATTAGCTACATCCAACTACAGCCCTTTAGTTTGGGTCTCAGCTACAGTAATTTGGCTCTCACAATTTATACTGAATTTCTCTACTCAGCCTCTTGATTCCTCCCCAGGACCTGTCACCCAGATTCCACTCCACCTCCAAGATCTCCATTCTGCTCCCCACTTTCCTCCTATTGGAGGAATTGGTCTGTTGGCTTTGGCTGCTCTAGGCAGGGGCTCCTTCATTCTCCAAACATTTTAGTCAAAGATTATGGGTGTTCCCCATGACTTTCATTGTGTTAGAAATTGCTGAATCTTGTCTTGAAAGGATTTTCACATGCGTAAAAGTGGAAAAGGAGCATGTCAATACAAAAAGCACCCTCCTCTGCCTGTGTGTCAGCTGTGCTATGGGTGTCCTGTGATTGCTGCAGAGATTTGTGTGTGAATTAGAGCGTGCTCCCCACAACACATCTTCTCCATAAGGAAAAGAGAGCTAGGAATGAATGTTCCAGAGTGGGGTCACAAAGGTGCACCTATGTCTCCCAAAATATTGCAATGATTAGGATGGAAAGGGGATTTGAAGGATTCACATTTGTGGACAATGTAGTAAAATCTGGATTGAGTGGCTCAGAGAGTATAGAATCTGGGCCTGTATCACCTTCTGAAGCTGTTAGCCACTGCCAGGTGTGAAGTATTAAAAGCTCTTCTCCTGGGACAGACCCCATATTCCTTCTGATTAATCCTGCAATAAAAGGTGTGGGCAAGTTTTATAAAACCACCATCAATTGTCATGGGAAATTCAGCATCATTTCTTCCCAGCTGTCTGGAGCACATGGAGAATGGGAACCTTTGTGTAAATGAGGTGACTCAAATGGCTAGTGGCATTTCTCAGCATGTGGAATGAAAACGGCTGTGCGGTGCATTCACTCAGCCCCAGGGGACATCGCCTGCTTTCCTAATTAATCATGAACCATTGCCACCTGGACAGTACCCTTTTCTAGTGTGGAGGGGCATCAGAGAGGACATTTATACGGAGTCAGTGCCCACCTAGTGCCCACTCATTGCCCAGGGGGTTTTCAGAAGTGCTGTACACTTGACTCAGCATGCAGGGGCATCAGCCAGGTAGTGCTGCTTAGACTGCCTGGAGGAGCACCTGCTGGGCTAGTGCAGTGATTCAGTCCCAGTGCAGGAGGTAAGCTGAGCGGTGCACTGTGCTGCCCCTGGGCATGCTGTGTTGAGGAGAGGGGCAGTGGAACATATGATCGAAGAGGCTCTGAAGAGGGGATCTGCAAGAGCGAGTAGCTGTGATATCCACAGTGCAGGAGCGCGCTGAAAACTACACGTTGTTAGTGCAGAAGCAGGGAGGTGGGAAAGGGGCGAGGACATGTTCAGTCATTGTGCTGTAATGCTTGAGCAGTTGTACAGTTTCAAAAGGGATCTATGGAAAGTATTCCAGTGCTTTGAATTTATTACAATATTTATTGTAGTACAGTATCTGCTCACTTAAAGTCATCCCAGTTAACGTTGTTTCGTTGTTACGTTGCTGATCAATTAGGGAACGTGCTCGTTTAAAGTTGCGCAATGCTCCCTTATAACATTGTTTGGCAGCTGCCTGCTTTGTCCACTGCTTGCAGGAAGAGCAGCCCATTGGAACTAGCTGGTGGGGGCTTGGAACCAGGGTGGACCGGAAGCCACCCCCCCCCACATCAGCTCCCCGCTCCCCTAAGTTCCCTGTGCAGCAGCCGCCCAGCAGGCTACAAATTGCCAGCAGTTCAGCTGTCCCTCCCCCACACTGCCATGTGCTGCTCCTGCCCTCTGCCTTGGAGCTGCTCCCAGGAACCTCCTACTTGCTGTGCAGGAGTGGGGGGGGAGAAGGGGGTTAATGTCAGGGTGTCCCCCTCCCCCCACTCCTGCCGCCCGCTTACCCCTTCTCCATATAGAGAAGGGTGGGGACACGACAGGGCTCAGGACAGAGGGAGCTTGCTGGCCACAGCTGCTATCTCAACTTGCTGATCTACTTAAAAAGGCAATGTACTTAGAGTGGTGTCAGCGTACTTAAAGGGGCAATGCGCATCTCTCTCACACAGTGTGTGTGTCTCTGTCTGCCATGCTGTCTCCCCTCCCTCCATTCGTGCTGCCTTGTAGAGTGTGAGGCTACATTAACAACGTGTTAACCCTTGAGGACTCAGCCGAATGCTAGTTCATAATTTAGCTGTATGGCATTCCCTGGGAAATATCCCACCCTCTGACTTCACCACCTCAACCAAGCTTCACAATCATCATTGCTGTGTACAGTATTAAATTGTCTGTTTAAAACTTATCCTGTGTGTGTGTGTGTGTGTGTGTATATATATATATAAAAAAATATATAGTTTTTTGTCGAGTGAAAAAATTTCTCTGGAACCTAACCCCCCTTATTTACATTAATTCTTATGGGGAAATTGGATTCACATAGCATCGTTTCGCTTAAAGTTGCATTTTTCAGGAACATAACTACAACGTTAAACGAAGAGTTACTGTAGTACCTAGGAGTCCCATTCAAGGATCAGGGCCCCACTGTGCCATAATTAAAGTTAAAGGTAGCTTCATTTTATAAACCTCTCATGGGATACAATCACTGCTAGGGTGCCTCCTTCTGGCTGCTTTGGGCATTAGCTCCTTCCAGGTCCAACATCCCCTTCTGTTGTTCATGTGCCAGGCATCCTCCCTCTCTACGACTCAAGGTGCTCTCTCTTTGTGGCTTGGTCCTCTGGCCAGGTCACTATAGTCCTTCCTTTCCAGGGTAGCAAAATCCCACTGGACAACTGCCCCAGGCATTCTTCTGCTCCACTGCCCAGTCTAGGCCACTTCCCCAGTGGCTCATAGGGGAACTGGGCCCACCGTGTACTCTGGGTTCCAGTCAAGGAACCCTGTGTCTAGCACCTGTGGTCTGCTTGCTCCCAGACCCTGCTGCTGTTTCCCTGGACTCCTTCCTGCATCTTCTTGCACCCTTCCCCCCACCCACTTTTAGCAACCCAAACTACCTTCTTCTAGAGAGTGACTGCAGACTACTTCCCCTGCAGCCCTCTTCTGCTGCCAACTTCCTGGCTTTATACCAGCCCTGCTTGTTCCTTCTCAGATGGGCTCCATCGTCAATCAGCCTTTCAAGCCCTGGCTCTCCCTCAGGTGCAGCCAATCAGGTTAATTAACCTAATCTAACTTGCTCTGCCTTGAGTGGGGTAGACACCCCATCACAGAGCCCTTCATGCCCCCTCCCTCTCCAAAAGACACCTTTTCCTTCTCAAGTTCTCTGTAGAGACCACTCCCTGTGAAATTTAGCATGTCACTTCTCAGTCCCAGCAAGAGCTCTTCTGGGAATTTTGTAAAAATCAGAAAACAAACCTCAAGTTCAGGTTTTGAAAATTCAGATCATGTCATTCACTTTTAAACATTTTCCTAATACTTTTTGTCTCAAAGCATGTCTCTGTGCCTGCAATCTTAGCAACTTGTTTTGCTTTGTTTTGAATAATAACAACAATACTTGGGGCCAGCAACATATGGTTAGCCTGTTACCGATGCATAGAGCAGATTGAAAAAAGTGGGGAGCTCTATCATTTTGTACAGAAATGAAGGTGACATCACATCTGGCAGCCCCTCCACTCCCCATCAATTCTGCCTCCTCCAGATCCCCATCTGTTCTCCTCTCCCAACCTTACCTCTGCTTTTTCTGCAGCTTCTGGGGTTCCTCACCTCTCTCCAAGGCCTGGGGCAGGGCTGCGGCAGGATCCCCACTGTCACTTCCAGGTTGGGTGCTGTATAGAGGAGGTAGAGAGGAGCTGTCCCATTGTTCCCAGGGAGTAGGGGGCCACCCTGGGCTCTTTCTGCTCCCTCTTCCCCTCCCCTTTTGTGAGAATGATTTCAACTTCTGAGGGGTGGGGAGAGCAGCTCTGATTGGCTGCTTACACCTCTGGAGGTGGGGAAAGGAGCCAATCAGAAGGGTTTTTCCCCAGGCAGGGCTGAAATATGTACCATCAGTGACATGGCTCCAGCTGGAGAAGTGTTCTTTGCTGGCCCCCTTGCCCTGCCTAGTGAACTTTACAAAGGTGGAGGATGGGACTGGAACTACCAAAAAGGTGGCAACTGAGGGGCAATTGGAGACCATCCTAACGCAGGCTCCCACAGAGTGTTCGGTGGATGTGGGTTAGCTTGTCAGGGCCAATCTCCTTTGGGAGTGAAGTGGAGCAGCCCGGCCAATAATGTGGAGTGGGGGAAGTGATTTACCAGTATAA